AAAGTAGTCTTGGTTGCAGGTCATTGATGTCATCACATGCAATACTTTATGCCAATCCTTTCTGGAGTAAGTGTCTTAGTTGAGAAATCAGTGAATGGCCTTATCAGATCATTCTTGTAGGTAACTAAGCCTCTCTTGCTGCCTTTGTCATAGGGATTCTCTCTTTCTCATAACCTTAGCCATTTTAATAATGACGTGTCTTAGTGTGGGTCTTTTTGCATTTGTCTTGACTGGTACTCTCTGTGTTTCCTGAAATTATGCAACATTTTCTATCACCCAGCCAGGGAAGCTCTCTACCATTATTACTTCAAACAGGTTCCTTATCCCTCTCATTCTCTCTTCTCTTTATGGTAACCCTACATTGAAGATGTTCTGCTGGAAGTTGTCCTGGAAGTTTCTTAGACTTTTCACAATTTAATTCTATTTTCTTTTTGCTGTTCTTTTTGGGTGATTAATATTTTCATTTCCTCTAATTCACCGATATGATCCTCTGTTTCATTAACCTGTTATTGATTCCTTCTAGTATATTCTTCATTTCTGACTATTTTTTTATGGTTTCTGCCTCCTATTTAATGCTTACTATCTCTTTGTTTAAATTCTCACTGACATCATCCTTTCTTTTCATAATGTCTTTGAACAATGTTATACAATTGTTTCAAAGTGTGCGTCTGGTATTTTGGCTGCTTTCATTTTATTCATTTTATTGAATTCGTTTTCTGGGTGATTTCTCCTGTTCTTTCATTTGGAACACTTTTCCTAGACTCACCATTTTGTCTGTGTTCTGTGTTTATTACTTAAATATGTGATGACCTCCAAACTTAGTAAGATGGCTTCATGATAAAGATGTCTTCTTGGATTCAGTGGCACAGTCTTCCAGTACTCCTGGTCTCTGTGTCCTTGGCATCTTTCTTGTGTGTTATGTGCATCTTGCTTGAATGCTATTGGCCCTTTCATGGCTGGAGTTAATCATTCAGGCTGTGTTAGTATAAGGGTAAATTTTGGTCAACATGTATGAGATGCTGTGCAGGGGATGCTACCCAAGGCAGAGTTGTCCCCAGCAGGGTCTGTGGCCATCCAGAGTCTTCCCTTGGTTGTGCCACTTTTGGGACTAGATTGGTCAAGCTCTAGTGTGAGCTGAAGCCCACTACTGGTTGTGTTGGTTCCAGGTTTGCTTGAGTGGGGTTCAGGTACAGGTTGCTGTCAGATGTATATGTAACTGTCCTGGGGCTGCCAATCTTTAGCTACCAAGTGTTGACTATTTGTGTCTGCATCCACTGGACCTGGGAGTGCCTGGGAAGGGCCAATCTCTGTAAAAAGGTTGGTTTCCTCCACCTTTTGAGCTTGGATGAGATCTGTAAAAGGACTGAGGCTCCTGAGGTCTGCCACCAACTGTTAGTTCCTCCACACCCTCTCTGAACTTGCCTGGTTTTCCTCCAGAGATTCCAAAGACAGACTGTAAGGTGAGCCCAGGCTGCCTGCATTTCCACAGTCATTTTTAGAGGTTGAAAGCTGGATATGGCAGGGCAACTGGGGTAAAGATGATAAGTCTAGCAGGAGTGTCCAACCTTTTGGTGTCTCTAGTCCACACTGGAATAAGATGTGTTGTCTTGGGCCACACATTAAATACACAAACACTAGTGAAATCTATTGAGTACAAAAATAGGTTTAAGTATATTTATGATTTATTGTTGGGCTTCTTTCATAGCTGTCCTGAGCTGCATGTGGCCCACAGACCATGAGTTGGACACCTCTGATAGTGAGTCTGCTACCTGGGGGTCATGCAGACAGGCACTCAATGAGGGGAAAATGACCCATGTTTCAAAGTCACCCCCCCTCAACCCCTCCCAGAGTTTCTAACTGTGATTTACCAGGGGAGAGCCCTTTTAGTTTCACTTTGGGAGCAGCCAGTTGTACAGTTTTCAGGAGCAAACTCAGCCACCTGAGGCTCAGGAGGATAGATCAAAAGATTGTCCCATGGGGCTGATGCCAGCCTAGCCCCTAGGAGAGGGCTAAGCACTTCATCCTGGTCCCTGAAAATACCCCCTGAGGGCTGCATACTTTGATTGATCCTACACTGAGCTGCTCCACCTCCCCTGCCAAATAGAACTTCACCTCACAAAGTTATTCAGGACTTCACAAGGCTCATTCTAATGGTCTCTCATTATGGGCAGTGTCTACAATCCTTTTGAAGAGGGGCCGAGTTTTATTCCCCTTCTCAGGGTAACAGAGGCTGAACTAGCAATGGAATTGATTTGCCTCCTGACAATGTAGCCAGCCACATAGCCTGGCACTTGCTCATCTAGCTCCCAGACAGAAACCGCCCTACAGGGAGGCACAGGGACCAGGCCTGCTGAGTGACTCAAGAAGTGATGGGAGTGCCACTGTCTATGCACTCCAGGTAGGGTACACTGTCCTCTCTTTCCCAAGCCTCACATTGTGGTCACTGTCTTGGTCACCTCCAAAAACATCACCACTAAAAAGACAGTCCCTTAAATTCATTTCTGGTTATAGCCAGCAGATTCCTCCACAGGACCCAGGGATGGCAATGTGGCCCTACCAGCAGTCAGAGTCTAGACTGTGAACTCCTCAGGGTCATGCTGTAACAACAGGAGGGCTCTTTCCTTGCAGGGTGCCATCTGAATCTTTCAGGCAGACTGCATCCCCATTGACTTTTACCACCAGTTGCTGTGTGGGCTCCTCTTCTTGTGTCTCTTGCTATAGGCTGGGGCTCCCTGCATGGAAATGAAGCCCCACACTCCTAAGAGGATGGAGTTTTGCAGCAATGTTATCTTTCTGGCTTTAGACCCCGCTTCACCTGAATGCATTGACTATCATTTCCTCCATCTCTGCCCATCTTTCTAGGTGCTATGTGACTTCTTCTATAAATCCTGGTTTACTATTTCAGATCAGTTAGAGTTCAGTTGGTTGTTCAGGTTGGTGGATGTGCAATGTAGCTGTAAATTTGGAGGCTGCCAGAAGCTGGTTGGTGTAGCTTTCACCTACTCTGAAGCCATCTTGGAATCCACTCCTGTTTATATTTTTAATAAGATTCAGTTGCATGCTGCTTCTGTAAACCTAGTTGAAAACTGAGAATGTTTGTGTATGAATGAAAAGCATTATTGTCAAACTAAAAATCTATAATAAACATTGAATATTGAATAAAATTAGTATAGAAAGTAAGAAAAGAATAACCAAATTCTCTGAGAATTCAGTGAAAAAGAATAGTGAGAGACCAAAGAGAAGCTATGTGTAAGACAGATGGTATGAGGATTAAAAATACCAGTAACAAAAATTCACAAACGAAACAAACCAGGTGGTGAAAGACAAGTACCTATGATCTCACCTTTAATAGGAACCTAATTGAAAAAACAAACAAACAAGCAAAATATAACCAAAGACATTGAAATTGAGAATAGGCTGAGAGTAACCAGAGGAGAGAGGAGAGAAAATTTCAGGGGAAAAGGGGAAGGGTTTTCAGGAAGAAGTATAAATGAGCAAGTATAAATGAGCAATTACAAGGCCAGGTGGAAACAGGAGGGAGGTGGGGAGGGCTGAGAGGTGGGCTGGGATGGGGGTAAAAAGTAGAAAACTGTAGTTGAATAACAATTACAATTTGGAAAAAGAAAGGAAACCAAAACCAAAACAAAACAAAAAAAATGTACTGGGGAAAATAATAAGCCATATCTACCCATCACTAGGGAAACATTCTTATTTAAGGGAAAAAGATTAGATTTGGGTGGCAAATACTCATTGCAATATACAGATGATCTATTATAGAATTGTACACTAGCAGCCTATAAATATTATTATATGCCATACCAAGAAATTTACTTTAAATATGATAGAAGAAAAATAAAAGAATTTTAATAACTTCAGCACTTCAGAAGGGAAATTCATAACTATAAACCCTGCAAAAATGTTGATGAACATTGATGTAACCCTGATCCTTTCCATCACTAAATTGCTGAAGATAGTGTTTCTAATGAGCCCAGCTATATTCATTTCTATAGCCTCCAAATATACATTCATTGAAAAGTGGCAACATAAGTATACATAGTGGAAAAAATCCAGGCTGTCCGGAAATAATTTTTTAAAAATTGATTAAGTGTAAAAATGCTATCAGTGATGTAAAATTTGCAACCCCCACAAAAAAAATTCACATCATTTTCAAAAAGCTTGGTCAAATATTTTCAACAAAGTTAAGAAACTAACTGGAATGATAGAACTAATTGTTCAAAATTGAAACTTTGCAATGTAATAATTAAATAACAATCTCTAAAGTTATAAAATGTATTCATAAAACTTGAAAAAAATGGGAGAGAGCAAGAAAAGATATGCTATACCTATATTACATAGGGGATAGGCAAACCATACATATTTTGATGGCACTAAAATTGAGAAAATAGACCTAAGTACGAATGTTTGTGTATATATGCAATCTGCACACATGAAATGAAATATCTAATGAAATAAAAATTGGACATTTAACTTCCAGTTTATTGGAACACCTAAAATAGTTCACCTTTTTGGTTCATACATAAAATACAAAGGCTCTAACAAGATCAAGGGCACTGTGTATGATGATGCTTAAAGAACCATACCTAAATTAAAATGACATAGCAGTGCTAACTATATATGTATACTAGGAAAATGCCAAGGTTTAAAACTGGTGATAATAATAATATGAGAAAAATACAGAAATGAAGAGGTAAAGTATTAAACAGGTTTACAAAAGGATTGTTTATTTTGGTGCCTCGTGCAATACATAATGAAGCCAAAAACTAAGAAGCAGAGTATTACTGTGAGAAATTAAAGATGAAGTAGCCCTCACAAGAGTTAGAGGATAGGAAAAGAGAAACAAGAAAACCCAGATCAAACAAGTGGAGTTTATGCTAGTCCTTAGACTCCCCCAGATGAAATCTTGTCAAATCTGCCTTGTATTCATGCTGTGAGGAAGCCGGTGGGAGGTGGATAGAATAATTTTCACGTTTTACCTTTAGGTACAGTCTCATTGGCCACGCATCTGCCCAATGTATCCTCTCGGGTAATACTGTCATTTGGGATATGGAGCCACCATTCTGTGAACGTGAGTTAACCTCTCTTCCTATTTATCCCATCAGTTAATCCTAGCATTGCCCCCTGGAATTACTAAGAATCAGTCTGACCTCTCTTGGCAATGATAGTCTTCCAATATTTCTGACTCAATATTGCCAAAATATGGCAATATTGACACTATATTCTTAATACTCACATTTTCCAAATTAATAGGATACACTAGAACACATACTTGGTTATTTTTATGACTTCTGAATCTGTGATTATTGTGCCATGTATGAAACTTTGTATTTGTGCTTTTATTAGTTGTGCCAGAGATTCCGTTTTTATTTATTTGATAAAGATGCCATACTGTATGCTACATCATATTGCTAACCAATAGAATAAAGCCAAATGCTTTCTATAGAAAGAGAACTGAATTAATTATAGTGAAATGACATAAAAGTTCACACATAAAATGAGACACTTAAGACATGACACATTCATTGAAATGACATTGATGGAGGAGGAAGGACAGGAGCCATCATATTGTGATCATGGAATCTACAGTTATGCAAAAACATGTCTGTACCTTAGAAAAGATTAGACAAGAGCAGAAGTGCTGAGACTAAATTCATATTCAGTGAATTGGATTTTTTAAAAACCCAATTGTCACCAAGTATAAATATAACTTATAAGATATCGAGGTTTTGTTTTCCTTGCTGTCCCCTCTTTAGGTATTCATTGCAGGCCACCCCCGGGCATCACCAACGGAGATTTCTTTAGCACCAACAGAGAGTATTTTCCTTACGGAACGGTGGTGAAATATCGCTGCAATCCTACAAAGACAAGGGAAAAGTTTGTCCTCTTGGGTGACGAGTCAATATATTGCACCAGCAAAGACAATCGTTTTGGCACCTGGAGCGGCCCTCCACCTCAGTGCTTCATACCTAATAAATGCACCCCTCCAGACATTGAAAATGGAATAAGGGTGTCTGAGAACAGAAGCTTCTTCTCCTTAAATGAAATCGTGAGGTTTAGGTGTGAGCCTGGCTTTGTCATGAAAGGACCCTCCAGTGTGCGATGCCAGGCCCAAAACAAATGGGAGCCAGAGTTGCCCAGCTGCTCCCGGGGTGAGTCTGACTGAGGCTTTGAAGGGGCCTGCAGAGGACCCGAGCTGTAGGAGGACCAGGCATGGTATTGGTGTATGTTCTGGGAGGAAGATGGGTGGTGAGCAGTGTGAGTCAAGTTTCCCTGGATGAAGCATGAAATAAAGAAGGGATATGTGTGTGCACACATGCTGTGCTTGTGCCTTTACATGGAGAAGCAAGGGCTTAATTAATCAAGAAAGGAGATATTTGGGACTTTCATGTTGGATAATTCTGAGGCTGCACTACTGGCCCTCAGTTACATGGGGAAAAGGATGTGAACTTTCCAGTCAACTGTGATAAGTACTTTACATGCACTATCTCATCAACTCTTTACAACCTTCCTTTGAATTAGTCTTAATCATTTATCTGTATGACAGTGAAGTTAGCTTGGTCTTTCAGAGGTTAAGTAAATTGTCCAAATCAGGTGCCAGTAAGTGGCATACCCAAGAATTGAATGCATGTGTGTCACACCCTGGAGCCTGAATGCTGTGCTTCTTTCCATATTCCTATCAGCACCCATCACAGACAGAAAGACTGTTTATCAAGACCATTAGTCTAGCTTCAGAATAGTCACAAGGACCTCAGGGTGTGTCTGTTCTGTTCCACATCCTACATTTTACCATGAGGAATCTGCAGTTAAAAGTGAAAGCAGCTTCCTAAAAGACAAAGAGATTTTTCATTCATCTTTCATTAGATAGCCATTAGGTTGACATTCAAATCAGTTCTCATGTCCTAAGCACACATCCAAAGGGCTGCTTATGGAGGCATTTAAACCTTGACTCACATAGTCTCTAAGCAATGTGCCCTCTGGTTACGAGGGCCAGAATATTGAGGGGCTTTTGTTCTTGATGGCTTGTTTTGTCTCCTTATGCCATAATTGCTGGCTTAGGAGTGGCCTGGTAAATAATTGTGATGGATACACAGGGATAGAGATGAAGCTTACAGTTCTTCCACCATCCTGCATTAGCTTGTGTGATCACTGAAAGAGCAGCTGGGAGGACAGACAGATGTAGATAAGAATTTTACTACACTTCGGTCACAAGGACACCATAACAGAGATGAAGGGAAATCTGTTAAATAGATTTACACTCAGACAATCTTCTCATTATCTGAAAGATGAAGCTGTAAATTAGATGACCTTTAGCAAATATGTGCATGGGGAATCCCACCAATACTAACAACTTTTTTCTAAATAGCCAGCACCAGAAGAAGTGGTCCTGTGCCTGGTGAACTGATGCTTGTGTTTCAAACCTTGTGCAGGGAAAGAGTAGGTTCTAATTCTCTAGCTGTTACTCATGTGTGGACTTTGGCTACAGCTCTCCCTTATTCTTAATTTCCACCTGAGTAAAATGCAGAGAGATTGGGGTATCAGTTGTCTTTCTTGGTTAGACCTAAACCACTCTAATTTAATTATCCTGGAGTCTCTTAACTCCTTAGTAGAGTTAAGATTTAGGAAAAAATATTTCCCCATAATTTATAATAACTTTTACTTGTTCTTTCCTCAGTATGTCAGCTGCCTCCAGAAATCATTCATGGTAAGCACACCCTCAGTGACAAGGACAACTTCTCCCCTGGGCAGGAAGTGTTCTACAGCTGTGAGCCTGGCTATGACCTCAGAGGGGCGGCCTCTCTGCGCTGTACACCCCAGGGGGACTGGAGCCCCGCAGCGCCCAGATGTACAGGTATATACGCTCCTCTCCCGTTTGAAATTTTTAGCTTGGGGCTTTACTTTCCACCTGCCTAGGTTACCTGTTTTCCTTTTTTTTTTTTTTTTTTCAGTGAAATCATGTGCGAAATTCCTGGACGAACTTCCTAATGGCCATGTGCTCTTTCCACTTAATCTCGAGCTTGGAGCAAAAGTGTCCTTCGTTTGTGATGAGGGGTGAGTGTGAGCTTGCCAGGCCTTCTGGAGACTGAAATTGGACTTAGAAGTTAATTCAAAATGGGAGGTTTGGGTATGGCAAAAAAAAAAAGCTACCTCAGGAGCATTAAATTTTGAAAGTGTATAAGAAAAGCAGAAGTAAGATTTTCTTGCCAATGTTTTTATCTAGGACTTGTATGGTGTTGTGACTTATAGTATGTCTTTTATTCACCTTGAGTTAATTTTTGTGTTTGGTGTATGTTGGTGATTGAGTTTCATTTTTTTTGCCAGTAGCTGGGCAGATCTCCCAACACCTGTTGTTGAAGAGTATCTTTTTACTCCATTTTATGTTTCTTCCTTCTTTGTCAAATATTAATTGACCATACAGACTTGGGTTTATTTCTGGGCTGTCTGTTTTGTTCCCTTGGTCTAGGTGTGTTCTTGTGCCAGTACGAGGGTGGTCTGTTTATAGTGGCATTGTAATACAGTTTGATATCAGGTGTTTGAGACAGCATGGATGGAACTGGAGAGCACTATGCTAAGTGAAATAAGCCAGGCACTGAGGGACAAATGCCATATGATTTTACCTTTAACTGAAATGTAATCAACAAATGGAAAAAAGCAAGCAAGATATAACCAGAGACACTGAAAGTAAGAAAAATCTGACAGTAACCAGAGGGAAGGTTGGAGGGATTAATGGAGGGAAGGGTTTCCAGGAACTACTGTAAAGGACACATGGACAAAACCAAGAGAGGAGGAAGGGTTTGGCTGGTGTGGAGGGGAGTGGTGAGAGAAAATGCAGACAACTGTAATTGAACAACAATAAAATAATTCAAAAAACAAAAAGCAAAAACAAACTAAAAGAAAATTGAGAGTTAGAGACAGGTGGAAGTAATGAGACATGAAGAAAAAATTGGAACATATATTAAATGGCATGCATAAAGATAATACAATGAATGGCTATGAATACATGTGTTGTATGTTGTGTGGAAAAAAACACATTTCCCAAGCAGAGGGGAATAAAAGTAATTTGTAGAGTCCCAAGAAAAGTTTGGTATGTTACAAAAAGCTTATTTCAAATGATTAAGATTATTTAAGAAATATCAGTCTTTTTTTACCATCAAAAGTGAAATTTATAATAGGAGCAAGAGTATAATAATAAACATTTTAATATAATCATATATCTTCTGTTTGGTAATAGGTTAAGTGTTCTGAATTGTGATCATGGTAGCTGATGTGATGTTTTAGGTAAGGTCATTAAACTTACCTAAAACATCAAGTTCATGTGAATCTGGTGCTTTTCAGTGTGAGCACATCTGGGCATGGGAAGGATCAAACATGAGCCATGAAAGACCTGTCTCAGACTGTTCCAAAGAATCCCAGCAGGCACCCAATGCCAGAACCCGATAAGATTTAGGAGCCACCAGGGTCCCACATAACATTGAGAATTCTGGATGCTTTCATACGAAGTAATTTCTGATCTCCTATCCTTTCCCCCTACAGCATCAGACCTAGTCTCCAGTGGCCCAGTGTACTGTTGGGAGCTTCCCTCATAGCCATCACAGATGTAGAGACCAAAGAACAGCCCTTGTTCTCTTTGCAATTATTCTGTTTTGTTTTTTCAGTCCAAACTGGGAGCTGTTTTAGTTGCTCTCAAATTATCAGAATTAGGTGGCCATTGCATTAGAAAACTGAGTTTCCCATCAGAGCAATGAGTAGAGATTTATCAGGTTTGTGTTGGAACAGTCAGCTAAAGATTCACTTCTCAAAGTCTGAGTCCAGGATCAAGGAGATGGCTGCTCTGCTATGCCTGCCTTCTTCAAGGCTGGGACTGCATGTTATGTGACCAGCTAACAGTGCTTTACTGTTCTCCCCTCCTGGAGGCCTTGATCTGTCCAGATTGGAGTGGCCTGAAAATCTCTGCCACCTGTTGGTTTAAGATGCTTAGAGTTTTGGCAAACTGAATGGCATTTTGGCTAAACCAACTCACCTATTCATTACCTCTCTCTTCTTTAGATTCCATCTAAAAGGCAATTCTGCTAGTCATTGTGTCTTGGCTGGAATGGAAAGCCTTTGGAATAGCAGTGTCCCTGTGTGTGAACGTGAGTAGAAGGAAAACACTTTAGGACAATTTCTTTTTTTTAACCTGGTTAATATTTTGACTTGCAAACATGGGTGGCCATACCATGGCCATCCCTTCATGGTCTTGTTTTTTAATCTGAATTATTGTGAAATAGTTGCTGACTTTACTAGTATTTATCTGTGATCAATTTGTTGTGATGCAGATTGCTGTGCACCATGAGTTTGGGGAAGCATTTGCTCTCTCTGTCATTTTGAATTCTGTGTTCTATGCGATATATCCTAGTTCCCATTTAGGTCAGGAAAGATTAAATAATGTGAATCTTTGATGAATTTTTTCTTTCTTACTTTCCTAATTTTTTATTTTTCATTTTTCTACCATCAGGATGCAATCACTCTAAAATTTTTCGATTTGTCTTCTAACATATGAATATAAGACCTTTTTTTCACTTTAGATGCACATCACCACTTTTATTTTGTATTTTAATTGTTCTTTTTATTGTATTTTTATTACTATTTATCCCCTCTAATGCTTTTTCACCTCCATCCAGCTCCCAGACCCTGGCAATCATCACACTGTTGTTGTCTTTTATATGTTTTTTTCTGTTTAGCACAATCCTTTTACCCCCCACCCACTGCCCAGAACTGTCACCCCATTCTCTATCTATGAGTCTGTATCTTTTAAAAAATTCATTTATCCCCACAACTATTTACTGAGTCCATCCTATGTACTTGATGTTCTTCTCAGTACTGGTGTTATAGCAGTGAACCAGTTAATTCCCTCTCCCCATATTATTTATACCCAAGTGGGGAGATGATCAGGAAATACAGAGGACAAATAAGTGATATGGATGTGACAGATCAGAGAAATGAAAGAATGAAGGGAAAGTCAGGAGCAACATTTCATGGGGTAAGCACTTTAATACTCCTTGTGCTCTCAAAATGTGTACCTGAATAAATTGTATTGCATGATTCAGAAGTAATAAGCTGATAAATGATTCTCCACTGTGTAATGTAAATACCAAGTTCTTCCATTCTGCCCATTTATATGTTGCCCAACAGAAGATGAGACTTTGCTTTGTCTTTTGGTATTAAAAATTAGAATATATATATACCCACATCTATGTATATATAAAATATTACTACAATGTTTATTTTGCTAGAAATATACTCAGACATCAAATGTACTTTCTATAGTAAAACATATGAGAATAGCTTATATGTAGATGTCTGCTATCCATGAAACCCAATGTTTCTTGATGAGACATAATAAGTGGCTGGCCTAGTGACATGTATTAGAGCTCACTTATTGACTGAACTATCTTTCTTATTTTTCATGACTCTTACTAGTTGAAGTAGCTTCCTCCAAACCTTAAGGCTAGTTAGAAATGCCAATTAGAACTGAGGAGGGAACTGTTTTAAACAGACAAGCAAATAATAGAGAGAAGTAACTATTCGAAGACTTGCCAAAAGTAAAGAAGAAAATTAAATAATAAAGAGATTCATACATTTTAAAAAAGAAAGCAATCTGAATGGTTTAGAATTATCACAATGGCCAAAGATGCTTCAATTCATTGTATCAGCATGCTGTCATAATCAACATTGATGGCCAGTATAAATAAATTATCAAGGAAGACTTCCGCCAAGATGGAAGCATAGGTGAAAGCACTGCACCTTCTCACACAATCAAGTTTAAAAACAACAAAGTTTTAACAACAAAAACATAGCCAAACCACAGAAAATTGAACTACACGGAAGTCTGACAACAACAAACCCTTCAGCCAAACCAGTAAGAGGGGCAGAGCCAGCAGTGGATCAGGGTTGGGCAGGGAAGATCCACTGGACTCACCCGAGCTCGCAACCCACACGCACAGGCAGCTGTAGGCGGATCCCAGGTGTGGAGTACCGGGTGGACCCACTGAGGGCACAAGGCAGTGGACTCACTGAGGGCTGACCACAGTCACACATTCGAGCACAGATAAACCGGTGAAGGAGCGAAGCGGTGAGACAGACCGTGCAGGCCCAAGTGGTGGAAAGTGGCAAAAGGGACCACCATTGTCCCTCTCTGACCCTGCCCACACACACAGCATCACAAACCAGCGACCTGGGTGGCCCCACCCTGGTGAACACCTCCTCATACATAACAGGCAGAAACAGATCAAAACATGGCTCAAGAACAACTCAGAGCCAAAGAGCCAATAAATCTAAGCAATGAAGAAATAGCCAATCTTTCAGATGCACAGTTCAAAACACTGGTGGTCAGGATGCTCACAGAACTGGTTGATTATAGTCACAAATTAGAGGAACATATGAAAACTAAACTAATTGAAATGAAGGGAAATGCACAGGAAACCAATAGTAAGGGAAAGGAAACTGGGACTCAAATCAAAGGAGTGGACCAGAAAGAGGAAAAAATGACCAAACAGAAAAGGACAAAGAAATAAGAATTCAAAAAAAATGAGGAGAAGCCTAGGAACATCCAGGACATCTTTGAACATTCCAACATCTGAATTATAGGGGTACCAGAAGGGGAAGAGGAACAGCCATGAGTGGAAAACTTATTTGAACAAATAATAAAGGAGAACTTCCCCAATCTGGCAAAGGAAATAGACTTCCAGGAAATCCCGGAAGCTCAGAGAGTCCCAAAAAAGTTGGACCCAAGAAGGAACACACCAAGGCACATCATCATTACATTAGCCAAGATTAAAATGAAAGAGAGAATTCTAGAAGCAGCAAGAGATAAGGGGACAGTCACCTACAAAGGAGTTCTCATCAGACTGTCAGCTGATTTCTCAAAAGAGACCTTACAGGCAAGAAGGGGCTGGAATGAAGTATTCCAAGTCATGAAATCCAAAGACCTACATCCAACATTGCTCTATTAAGCAAAGCTTTCATTTAGAATGGAAGGACAGATAAAGTGCTGCTCAGATAAGATCAAATTCAAGGAGTTCATCATCACCAAGCCCTTATTACATGAAATGTTAAAGGGGCTTACCTAAGAATAAGAAGATAAAAAAGATGGAACAGTGAAAGGACAGCAAGCTCACAGTTATTAAGAACCACACCTAAAACAAAAGCAAACTAAGAGGACAGCTAGATCAGGAGCAGAACCATAGAAATGATGATCACATGGATGGTTAGCAACAGGGGAGTAGGAGAAGGAGAAGGGGGGAGAAGGTACAGAAAATAAGTAGCATAGACGGTAGGTAGAAAATAGATAGGGGGAGGGCAAGAATAGTGTGGGAAATGTAGAATCTAAAGATCTTGAGACACGTGGTCATCAACTAAAGGGGGGATGGTGGGGGAGGGGTGTGCAGGGTGGAGGGGAATGAAGGGGAGAAATAGAACTGTAATGGCATAATCAATCAAATATATTTAAAAAGTTATCAAGGAGGAGTTTCATGTCGTTACATGTCGTTAGGATAATTAGTACACGTGGAGACATTCTAGCAATATTTCTCGAGAATGAAGCTCCTTGGAGGACAATGACTTTATCGTGCTGCATCCCAGGGCCCTGATAAGTGCTGGCACAGAATAACTGCCCAACTAACAGGTATTAAGTACTTCAATGGGTTAAATTTCAAAGGGATTTTTTTTAAAGTTTTGGAACTTAATTTAAGTGTGTCAAGTTTTATTATCCAGAAGATTCAATTATCAGGGAGATTCAAGATAACCCACTTCTTTTGTATTTTTTCAATGAAAAATGACAGTGTGATCTTATTTCATTTGGCTCATCTCATCAAAGGCCTACACCAAAGACATACTGTCATAAATTTTTTTTAGATAGCCCCAACTCTAACACCCTATGACTGTGGAATACCTCTGGAGAAAACTCCTCAGTGAAGCTTACAGCCTTTGCCTTCTTTCCAGAAATCTTATGTCCAAATCCACCAGATATCCATAATGGAAGGCACACAGGAAAACCTCTGGAAATCTTTCCTTATGGAAAAGAAGTAACTTACACATGTGACCCCCACAAAGACAGAGGGACGACCTTCATTCTCAGTGGGGAGAGCACCATACGCTGCACAAGTGACAGTCAAGGGAATGGGATTTGGAGCAGCCCTGCCCCTCGCTGTGGACATCCAGGTTAGTGCACACTACCCCACATCCTAAATGGTTCCAGAATACTCAAAACAAAACTCCCAAAGTCTTGTAAGTACAGTGCAATATTTTTTGTGCATGGGCACAATTAAATAATAAATTAGTAATAAATGATTTTACGATATGTCAACATGAAAGTTTGAGGACCTAACTTCTACAGGGTTGGAGAAGAGAGAGCAAGGTAGTGGGTGGTGATTCTAATTTTAACTAGAATTGGAAGAAAAATGTTTTCAAAGCATAGGAATTGAAAGTAAATCTTTAAGGACCTTAACTCACATAAGTTATGACATCCATAGACTTGGAGGGAAGCACAGTCCAGGAGAGAACAAAGCCTGGCAAAATCGCTTTAAATTGCATTGTAGACAAACAACATAGATTCTATTTTTTAACAATATTTTATTTATTTTTTTTAAAGAGAGGGAAAGGGAGAGAGAAAGAAAGGGAGAGAAACATCAATGTGTGGTTGCCTCTAATGTGCCCCCCTATTGGGGACCTGGCCTGCAACCCAGGCATGTGCCCTGACTGGGAATAGAACTGGCAACCCTTTAGTTCCCAGTCCTTTAGCTCAATCCACTGAGCTACACCAGCCAGGGCACAATATAGATTCTTTCAGCCAGTTTGGCCTAGGTTGTAAATTAAAATAATGCTTATTTGGTTCTTTGCCCCCAGTAATTTTAGTCATTGAATTCTTCTCACTTCAGTAGAAATGAAAAGAAAAGGAATGTGAACCAAAAGGAGAATGCAAAATAAAGAGTGTGTATTTCCAAGGTCTGGAGAAGGTTTCCTAAGACACCCACCACTCTAAGACATCCATCTTCAGGACATAAACACAGAAAGGAGAAAGTGAATTGTAGAAGGGACCCTAGTCTTGATATTACTTACTGACTACTAAGAAACTCTGAGAGCAAAGAAAAATCCTAAAAGGAAAAAGACCAAGGGAAATTTCTCAGAAGTCATTTTTGTCCTCACTGCCCTTCTCTATCACAATGGCTTCAATGTCAGGTGCACTTATGAGCCTGTTTACCAATGTAGAGACCTAGTCCATACTTACTCAATCTATAATGAGACATAGTCTTCCCTTAAGTTCTATGATTTTGTTTTTCATCACAACCCTATCTGAAATGGCAACCCTTGTTTTATTAGATAGATTAGACTGGAGACATCTTCATATGTGATTTGTTCTTAGGGGTAAATTTCAATCATAATTGGGACTCCTTGAATTGGAAGCTAGTAAAGCTAATATTTCAGCTGCAAGATAAAAGTAAAGGGTGATATAAGTAAACTAATATGCTGTGGAATATCTTGAAAATAAGCCAATATTTATATGTAGAGAAATTATTGAATAATCTCAAGAGTTGAGAAATTGCTTTATAATCTTCCAACCAAAAAAGTTCTGGGTGCAGAATTGGTTGTGCTATAACTATTTCTGTTGGAATAAGTGATTGGAAGGGAGGTGGAGAACAGCTGAAAGAGAAACTAAAAAAGAGGGTATTGTCAACCAAAGTGGAAGTGATTTCTATTTTCCTAAGCATATGTACTTTATTGGATTCACACATTTTGAACCCAAAGTGAGCCTAGAGCTAATAGGCCATAGGGGCATGGAGCTTTAAGTAGAATTTAATTCAATATACACTTCCAACAATGTTTTCTCATAATGGCAAATGTAGTATGTTAGTTTGTTTATTTTGAGGAGATGCTATCGGTTCCCCCTTGTGTCAAAGTGGCTTGCTTAGGAATCAGACCTACAGAACTAGTGGCTTCTTCCTAGTGTCAAGAAATACCTTGTGTTCTCTGATCACACTTGTGAGCCCTCCATGGGGGGTTTCGATGCACTAAAGAACAGAGAAACCAGACAGGAATGGTGGAATCTGGGCAGGAGAGCTCTTTCCCCCCCAAAAAAATGTGGAAAATTGAATTGGAGCTGTTTTGTACAGTAAATTATATGAGCAAAATGACCAAAGAGTGGAATGCCCTTTCAGGAAGTATATTTTCTAATGGACATGTGCTAATAATGGAACTTCCCCTCCCAAGGTTAGGTGGAAATGATCTCTCCAGGACTAAAAAGTTTCTTTTGCTCTGGCATCAACTCCAACAGGAGAGAGAAATAAGGTCCTTGGGTATCTTTACATTAAATGTGCTGTTCTTGATATCTTATTTCCTAGGTTACTGTAATGCCCCAGGTCATTTTCAATTTGCTAAGCTGAAAATCCAAACCAATGAATTTGAGTTTCCTGTTGGGACATCACTACAGTATGAATGCCTCCCCTGGGTACTATAGAAAGTCATTCTCTATCAGTTGTCTAGACAACCTGGAGTGGTCAAGTGCCAAGGATGTCTGTCAACGTGAGTAAACCCTGCATTGGAGCTTTACGGTGTCTGTCAAATTATCCATAGGATCTTATCTAATCTTTTCCAAGTTTAGAGATAAGGAAACTTTGCTTCTCACAAGTGCCCCCACAGGTGGATGTAAGTCAGTGTTGTAGATCATCCCTAATTATTAGTTGATGTGTTTGTTTCATGAGAATTTTCCAAGAAGTATTTGCAGGAAATGAAACATGTTTTACAGGAAAAAATAGAGAAGATAAATTGTTTGAATAACCAGGTAAGAAGAAAAAGTTTATACTAGTATGCAATAAGGCCATAATTAACCTTTACATTTTGATGACAAATTTCAGGTAGAGATAAGACAGGTCTAGATGAGAAGTCTGTGTTAACATGGTGTCTAGTAAGCAGCCCAACTCAGTTGGGTAAGTCAAAAATTTGTGGAACCTTCAGAATTGTATGTACTTGTTGGACAGCTATACAGTGAGGTTGGGACCTTATGTACTATAAAAGTTCATATTACTCTGGCTCCAAAATTCTGTTTCTTGCCACAGGTAAAGTATGTAAAACTCCTCCAGATCCATTGAATGGCATGGTACATGTAGACACAAACACCCAGTTTGGATCCAGAATTAATTATACTTGTAATAGAGGGTAAGTTGGCAGTAACATCTTTGATTCAAGATTTGCAGAATGGCAATACTACCGTTTAGTCACATGGCAGTAGAAAGGAGACTAGACTATAACCATCTGCTGCTTAAAAGCCTGAACCTACATGTTTCGGTGTCTGATTGAAATGAACAAAGGTATGACAAGATAAAGGGGGAAATCTGTTAATCTTGCTGGAAAACACTACAGTGCATATAACAAAATCAAGGTCCTCACCAGGTACAAAGGAAGAAAATGTGGGGAGAGTATAGTCAAACCATATAGTGAAACCGTATAAACAGCCCTAACACAGTGCACATTGCTGGAATAAAGGGAAGCCCATGGAGCATTGAGTGAGAAAACAAATCTTCAAGGTAAATGCACTATTAGTTTTCTAGGGCTGCCATAACAAAGTACCAGGAACTGGGTGTCTGAGAACCACAGAAATGTATTCTCAGACAGTTTTTGAAGTCCAGAAGTTCAAAATTAAGGTGCTGGCACAACATGATCCCTTCAAAGCCCCAGAGGGAGGTTCTCTCCTTACTTTTGCCAGCTCCTGGTAGCCTCAGTCCTTCTTGGCATGTGGCTACATCACTCCCACTTCTGTTTCTGTCCTCCCATGGCCATCTTCCCTCTGTGTCTGTGTGTCACCTTCTTCCCCCTCACCACACACAGAATTTCTCCTCTCTGTATGGCTTAATGTCCAGAGTTCCATTTTTATGAAGATGCCATTCCTATTGGATTAGGGCCACCCTAATGGCCTCATGTAGTCTTGATTACATCTTCAAAGACCTTACTTCCAAATGAGGCCACATTCATGGGGATTGGGATTTAGGAGTTTAACATATCTTTTTGAAGAAAACTATTTAGCCTGCAATAGACCCCTGTGAAAATGTCTGACATAAAATGTATACTAGGTGGTTGTCCTGCCCTTGGTGTTTACCCTTGCTCAGCACACAGTGGACTCTTGACTGTACTCTCATTTTGAGCAGCTGAGCCCATTAGAGAATCTGGGCTACATTTGTGCCAGAATTGGCACTGGAAGGTCATTTTGGTCTGTCCTCAGCAAATGTATTTGCCACCCAAGGCCTAGAAGACCATAGTACATGTAATCTGACAAAGTAAAATTAGAGCAAATCTAAATACTTTCTCTTTCTCTGAGCACTTTTAAGTATAGTCTCTAAATACTCTGGCTGTACCTTCTTCATCTTTCATTACCAAGTGAGGTGAACCTGTCTATAGTATGAAACAACAAACCATCAATCTCATGACAAATCACAGAAAAAATGTAAACAGACGAAGTTGAGGAATCAGTATGTCTTCTCACAAAACAGTTGCTTCCAAGAGATTGGGAAGACTTTTCAAAAATGTCTGGCGTATGTATTTTTTAACTTTAACTTTAAGATTAGATTTGGGTGGCAAATACTCATTGCAATATACAGATGATCTATTATAGAATTGTACACTAGCAGCCTATAAATATTATTATATGCCATACCAATGCCATACCAAGAAATTTACTTTAAATATGATAGAAGAAAAATAAAAGGATTTTAATAACTTCAGCACTTCAGAAGGGAAATTCATAACTATAAACCCTGCAAAAATGTCGATGAACATTGATGTAACCCTGATCCTTTCCATTACTAAATTGCTGAAGATAGTGTTTCTAATGAGCCCAGCTATATTCATTTCTATAGCCTCCAAATATACATTCATAGAAAAGTGGCAACATAAGTATACACAGTGGAAAAAGTCCAGGCTGTCCAGAAATAATTTTTAAAAAAATGATGAAGCATAAAAATGCTATCAGTGATGTAAAATTTGCAACCCCCACAAAAAAAATTCACATCATTTTCAAAAAGCTTGGTCAAATATTTTCAACAAAGTTAAGAAACTAACTGGAATGATAGAACTAATTGTTCAAAATTGAAACTTTGCAATGTAATAATTAAATAACAATCTCTAAAGTTATAAAATGTATTCATAAAACTTGAAAAAATGGGAGAGAGCAAGAAAAGATATGCTATACCTATATTACATAGGGGATAGGCAAACCATACATATTTTGATGGCACTAAAATTGAGAAAATAGACCTAAGTACGAATGTTTGTGTATATATGCAATCTGCACACATGAAATGAAATATCTAATGAAATAAAAATTGGACATTTAACTTCCAGTTTACTGGAACACCTAAAATAGTTCACCTTTCTGGTTCATACATAAAATACAAAGGCTCTAACAAGATCAAGGGCACTGTGTATGATGATGCTTAAAGAACCATACCTAAATTAAAATGACATAGCAGTGCTAACTATATATGTATACTAGGAAAATGCCAAGGTTTAAAACTGGTGATAATAATAATATGAGAAAAATACAGAAATGAAGAGGTAAAGTATTAAACAGGTTTACAAAAGGATTGTTTATTTTGGTGCCTCATGCAATACATAATGAAGCCAAAAACTAAGAAGCAGAGTATTACTGTGAGAAATTAAAGATGAAGTAGCCCTCACAAGAGTTAGAGGATAGGAAAAGAGAAACAAGAAAACCCAGATCAAACAAGTGGAGTTTATGCTAGTCCTTAGACTCCCCCAGATGAAATCTTGTCAAATCTGCCTTGTATTCAGGTTGTGCGGAAGCTGGTGGGAGGTGGATAGAATAATTTTCACATTTTACCTTTAGGTACAGTCTCATTGGCCACGCATCTGCCCAATGTATCCTCTCGGGTAATACTGTCATTTGGGATATGGAGCCACCATTCTGTGAACGTGAGTTAAACTCTCTTCCTATTTATCCCATCAGTTAATCCTAGCATTGCCCCCCTGAAATTACTTAGAATCAGTCTGACCCCTCTTGGCAATGATATTCTTCCAATATTTCAAAAGAAAATGGTTATATGCTGAAAAGTGCTTGCAGTGTTCTAAGCTCCTAGTTCCTTCTGGTTTTTCCTTATCTTGGCATATAATTTATTTAAAAGAGCCCCCAGCTTCCTCTTTTATTGGTTGAACATTTCCCAGTCTGAAGATCATTCACTTCAGTATTGTAAACAAATGCAAAGTTAGTGAAAGTAGCCTAGCTTCCTCTCTGCCAACTCTCAACATCAGGTCATGCACTGCCTTCCTCCTGGTTCTTTGAACAATGGCATGGCATGCTGTCTTCCTGTGAGATGTTTAGAATATGAGCTTCCTACACCTTGGGTAGGAAGAAGAATGAGCATTTGCAAATTAACATAGAATACAAAGAGGCTATCTACCCTGGGTTTGGTGATAATGTGAAGAAATCAACACACTCAAACCTAAACACTGGGAGGATAAATGGGAACAAAATCTCTAAGAAGCTAGTATATGATAGGTATCAACCCTCAATTGTGTTCATGCCTTACACTAAGAAGTTGACATTTATGATTTATTCTTAAAATCTAATTCCCATGATTTCTGCAAGGGTGTCGCTATGCAAATATTTACCTGCATTGTTGTTTGTGATAGTGAAAAAGTCAAAACAATGTAAATGTTGATCGTATTTCAGTGTTTCAGAAATAAGGATCTCCAAACAGATGTGAGATGATTCTTTGGAAGAAAATACAATTTTTTATTATAATGAGTTTCATTTTGTGCTTAAAAAATTTCTGTTTATCAGTTTTCAAAGCACTGAATACATTAGTACTTTGTATGTGTGTATTATTTACAACTAAAGAGAAATACCCACAATGGGAAAAATCAAAAGGATAAGGCATGAGTTTTGCAAGCAAAAAATAAAAAGTTTAAAATGTGCCAGAATTCATTAGCCAAGAGAAACAGCTCTTTGAAATGAAATTGTACAGTACATGTTCCACTGAAATATTATTAAGACAACAGAGATATTTTGGAAAACATATGGTTTGTGTGTCTGCATGTATTGAAGATTACACATTAAAGGGCTCTCAGTGGTGCTTCTAGATAATGGACTGAAAGATTATTTTCATTTATATTTTATAAATGTTCTACCAGAAATATGTGTCTTCTTAAATACTTTAAAGTAAAATAAATAAATAAATAAATAAATAAATAAATAAATAAAATATTTTTACGTTAATGTATACCTGCCAAAAAATGATAGAAAATACATTGTATGCTTTGGAATGCTTTAAAATACCTAGCGGCGATCTGATATTTAGATATTAGATTTAATTTGTCCATAAAGTGACATGTGTTTTTTGAAATGTTTTATGAGTGGCATTTTGATACATTTTCCCCACTGCTATATCCTCCATTTTTCTGACTCGATATTGGCAAAATATGGCAATATTGACACTATATTCTTAATACTCACATTTTCCAAATTAATAGGGTACACTAGAACACATACTCGGTTATTTTTATGACTTCTGAATCTGTGATTATTGTGCCATGTATGAAACTTTGTATTTGTGCTTTACCTCTATTTTATTAGTTGTGCCAGAGATTCCGTTTGTATTTATTTGATAAAGATGCCATACTGTATGCTACATCATATTGCTAACCAATAGAATAAAGCCAAATGCTTTCTATAGAAAGAGAACTGAAGTAATTATAGTGAAATGACATAAAAGTTCACACAATATGAGACACTTAAGACATGACACATTCATTGAAATGACATTGATGGAGGAGGAAGGACAGGAGCCATCATATTGTGATCATGGAATCTACAGTTATGCAAAAACATGTCTGTACCTTAGAAAAGATTAGACAAGAGCAGAAGTGCTGAGACTAAATTCATATTCAATGAGTTGGATTTTTAAAAAACCCAATTGTCACCAAGTATAAATATAACTTATAAGATATCGAGGTTTTGTTTTCCTTGCTGTCCCCTCTTTAGGTATTCATTGCAGGCCACCCCCGGGCATCACCAACGGAGATTTCTTTAGCACCAACAGAGAGTATTTTCCTTACGGAACGGTGGTGAAATATCGCTGCAATCCTACAAAGACAAGGGAAAAGTTTGTCCTCGTGGGTGACGAGTCAATATATTGCACCAGCAAAGACAATCGTTTTGGCACCTGGAGCGGCCCTCCACCTCAGTGCTTCATACCTAATAAATGCACCCCTCCAGACATTGAAAATGGAATAAGGGTGTCTGAGAACAGAAGCTTCTTCTCCTTAAATGAAATCGTGAGGTTTAGGTGTGAGCCTGGCTTTGTCATGAAAGGACCCTCCAGTGTGCGATGCCAGGCCCAAAACAAATGGGAGCCAGAGTTGCCCAGCTGCTCCCGGGGTGAGTCTGACTGAGGCTTTGAAGGGGCCTGCAGAGGACCCGAGCTGTAGGAGGACCAGGCATGGTATTGGTGTATGTTCTGGGAGGAAGATGGGTGGTGAGCAGTGTGAGTCAAGTTTCCCTGGATGAAGCATGAAATAAAGAAGGGATATGTGTGTGCACACATGCTGTGCTTGTGCCTTTACATGGAGAAGCAAGGGCTTAATTAATCAAGAAAGGAGATATTTGGGACTTTCATGTTGGATAATTCTGAGGCTGCACTACTGGCCCTCAGTTACATGGGGAAAAGGATGTGAACTTTCCAGTCAACTGTGATAAGTACTTTACATGCACTATCTCATCAACTCTTTACAACCTTCCTTTGAATTAGTCTTAATCATTTATCTGTATGACAGTGAAGTTAGCTTGGTCTTTCAGAGGTTAAGTAAATTGTCCAAATCAGGTGCCAGTAAGTGGCATACCCAAGAATTGAATGCATGTGTGTCACACCCTGGAGCCTGAATGCTGTGCTTCTTTCCATATTCCTATCAGCACCCATCACAGACAGAAAGACTGTTTATCAAGACCATTAGTCTAGCTTCAGAATAGTCACAAGGACCTCAGGGTGTGTCTGTTCTGTTCCACATCCTACATTTTACCATGAGGAATCTGCAGTTAAAAGTGAAAGCAGCTTCCTAAAAGACAAAGAGATTTTTCATTCATCTTTCATTAGATAGCCATTAGGTTGACATTCAAATCAGTTCTCATGTCCTAAGCACACATCCAAAGGGCTGCTTATGGAGGCATTTAAACCTTGACTCACATAGTCTCTAAGCAATGTGCCCTCTGGTTACGAGGGCCAGAATATTGAGGGGCTTTTGTTCTTGATGGCTTGTTTTGTCTCCTTATGCCATAATTGCTGGCTTAGGAGTGGCCTGGTAAATAATTGTGATGGATACACAGGGATAGAGATGAAGCTTACAGTTCTTCCACCATCCTGCATTAGCTTGTGTGATCACTGAAAGAGCAGCTGGGAGGACAGACAGATGTAGATAAGAATTTTACTACACTTCGGTCACAAGGACACCATAACAGAGATGAAGGGAAATCTGTTAAATAGATTTACACTCAGACAATCTTCTCATTATCTGAAAGATGAAGCTGTAAATTAGATGACCTTTAGCAAATATGTGCATGGGGAATCCCACCAATACTAACAACTTTTTTCTAAATAGCCAGCACCAGAAGAAGTGGTCCTGTGCCTGGTGAACTGATGCTTGTGTTTCAAACCTTGTGCAGGGAAAGAGTAGGTTCTAATTCTCTAGCTGTTACTCATGTGTGGACTTTGGCTACAGCTCTCCCTTATTCTTAATTTCCACCTGAGTAAAATGCAGAGATTGGGGTAACAGTTGTCTTTCTTGGTTAGACCTAAACCACTCTAATTTAATTATCCTGGAGTCTCTTAACTCCTTAGTAGAGTTAAGATTTAGGAAAAAATATTTCCCCATAATTTATAATAACTTTTACTTGTTCTTTCCTCAGTATGTCAGCTGCCTCCAGAAATCGTTCATGGTAAGCACACCCTCAGTGACAAGGACAACTTCTCCCCTGGGCAGGAAGTGTTCTACAGCTGTGAGCCTGGCTATGACCTCAGAGGGGCGGCCTCTCTGCGCTGTACACCCCAGGGGGACTGGAGCCCCGCAGCGCCCAGATGTGCAGGTATATACGCTCCTCTCCCGTTTGAAATTTTTAGCTTGGGGCTTTACTTTCCACCTGCCTAGGTTACCTGTTTTCCTTTTTTTTTTTTTTTTTTCAGTGAAATCATGTGCGAAATTCCTGGACAAACTTCCTAATGGCCATGTGCTCTTTCCACTTAATCTCGAGCTTGGAGCAAAAGTGTCCTTCGTTTGTGATGAGGGGTGAGTGTGAGCTTGCCAGGCCTTCTGGAGACCGAAATTGGACTTAGAAGTTAATTCAGAATGGGAAGTTTGGGTATGGCAAAAAAAAAAAAAAGCTACCTCAGGAGCATTAAATTTTGAAAGTGTATAAGAAAAGCAGAAGTAAGATTTTCTTGCCAATGTTTTTATCTAGGACTTGTATGGTGTTGTGACTTATATTATGTCTTTTATTCACCTTGAGTTAATTTTTGTGTTTGGTGTATGTTGGTGATTGAGTTTCATTTTTTTTGCCAGTAGCTGGGCAGATCTCCCAACACCTGTTGTTGAAGAGTATCTTTTTACTCCATTTTATGTTTCTTCCTTCTTTGTCAAATATTAATTGACCATACAGACTTGGGTTTATTTCTGGGCTGTCTGTTTTGTTCCCTTGGTCTAGGTGTGTTCTTGTGCCAGTACGAGGGTGGTCTGTTTATAGTGGCATTGTAATACAGTTTGATATCAGGTGTTTGAGACAGCATGGATGGAACTGGAGAGCACTATGCTAAGTGAAATAAGCCAGGCACTGAGGGACAAATGCCATATGATTTTACCTTTAACTGAAATGTAATCAACAAATGGAAAAAAGCAAGCAAGATATAACCAGAGACACTGAAAGTAAGAAAAATCTGACAGTAACCAGAGGGAAGGTTGGAGGGATTAATGGAGGGAAGGGTTTCCAGGAACTATTGTAAAGGACACATGGACAAAACCAAGAGAGGAGGAAGGGTTTGGCTGGTGTGGAGGGGAGTGGTGAGAGAAAATGCAGACAACTGTAATTGAACAACAATAAAGTAATTCAAAAAACAAAAAGCAAAAACAAACTAAAAGAAAATTGAGAGTTAGAAACAGGTGGAAGTAATGAGACATGAAGAAAAAATTGGAACATATATTAAATGGCATGCATAAAGATAATACAATGAATGGCTATGAATACATGTGTTGTATGTTGTGTGGAAAAAAACACATTTCCCAAGCAGAGGGGAATAAAAGTAATTTGTAGAGTCCCAAGAAAAGTTTGGTATGTTACAAAAAGCTTATTTCAAATAATTAAGATTATTTAAGAAATATCAGTCTTTTTTTACCATCAAAAGTGAAATTTATAATAGGAGCAAGAGTATAATAATAAACATTTTAATATAATCATATATCTTCTGTTTGGTAATAGGTTAAGTGTTCTGAATTGTGATCATGGTAGCTGATGTGATGTTTTAGGTAAGGTCATTAAACTTACCTAAAACATCAAGTTCATGTGAATCTGGTGCTTTTCAGTGTGAGCACATCTGGGCATGGGAAGGATCAAACATGAGCCATGAAAGACCTGTCTCAGACTGTTCCAAAGAATCCCAGCAGGCACCCAATGCCAGAACCCGATAAGATTTAGGAGCCACCAGGGTCCCACATAACATTGAGAATTCTGGATGCTTTCATACGAAGTAATTTCTGATCTCCTATCCTTTCCCCCTACAGCATCAGACCTAGTCTCCAGTGGCCCAGTGTACTGTTGGGAGCTTCCCTCATAGCCATCACAGATGTAGAGACCAAAGAACAGCCCTTGTTCTCTTTGCAATTATTCTGTTTTGTTTTTTCAGTCCAAACTGGGAGCTGTTTTAGTTGCTCTCAAATTATCAGAATTAGGTGGCCATTGCATTAGAAAACTGAGTTTCCCATCAGAGCAATGAGTAGAGATTTATCAGGTTTGTGTTGGAACAGTCAGCTAAAGATTCACTTCTCAAAGTCTGAGTCCAGGATCAAGGAGATGGCTGCTCTGCTATGCCTGCCTTCTTCAAGGCTGGGACTGCATGTTATGTGACCAGCTAACAGTGCTTTACTGTTCTCCCCTCCTGGAGGCCTTGATCTGTCCAGATTGGAGTGGCCTGAAAATCTCTGCCACCTGTTGGTTTAAGATGCTTAGAGTTTTGGCAAACTGAATGGCATTTTGGCTAAACCAGCTTGCCTATTCATTACCTCTCTCTTCTTTAGATTCCATCTAAAAGGCAATTCTGCTAGTCATTGTGTCTTGGCTGGAATGGAAAGCCTTTGGAATAGCAGTGTCCCTGTGTGTGAACGTGAGTAGAAGGAAAACACTTTAGGACAATTTCTTTTTTTTAACCTGGTTAATATTTTGACTTGCAAACATGGGTGGCCATACCATGGCCATCCCTTCATGGTCTTGTTTTTTAATCTGAATTATTGTGAAATAGTTGCTGACTTTACTAGTATTTATCTGTGATCAATTTGTTGTGATGCAGATTGCTGTGCACCATGAGTTTGGGGAAGCATTTGCTCTCTCTGTCATTTTGAATTCTGTGTTCTATGCGATATATCCTAGTTCCCATTTAGGTCAGGAAAGATTAAATAATGTGAATCTTTGATGAATTTTTTCTTTCTTACTTTCCTAATTTTTTATTTTTCATTTTTCTACCATCAGGATGCAATCACTCTAAAATTTTTCGATTTGTCTTCTAACATATGAATATAAGACCTTTTTTTCACTTTAGATGCACATCACCACTTTTATTTTGTATTTTAATTGTTCTTTTTATTGTATTTTTATTACTATTTATCCCCTCTAATGCTTTTTCACCTCCATCCAGCTCCCAGACCCTGGCAATCATCACACTGTTGTTGTCTTTTATATGTTTTTTTCTGTTTAGCACAATCCTTTTACCCCCCACCCACTGCCCAGAACTGTCACCCCATTCTCTATCTATGAGTCTGTATCTTTTAAAAAATTCATTTATCCCCACAACTATTTACTGAGTCCATCCTATGTACTTGATGTTCTTCTCAGTACTGGTGTTATAGCAGTGAACCAGTTAATTCCCTCTCCCCATATTATTTATACCCAAGTGGGGAGATGATCAGGAAATACAGAGGACAAATAAGTGATATGGATGTGACAGATCAGAGAAATGAAAGAATGAAGGGAAAGTCAGGAGCAACATTTCATGGGGTAAGCACTTTAATACTCCTTGTGCTCTCAAAATGTGTACCTGAATAAATTGTATTGCATGATTCAGAAGTAATAAGCTGATAAATGATTCTCCACTGTGTAATGTAAATACCAAGTTCTTCCATTCTGCCCATTTATATGTTGCCCAACAGAAGATGAGACTTTGCTTTGTCTTTTGGTATTAAAAATTAGAATATATATATACCCACATCTATGTATATATAAAATATTACTACAATGTTTATTTTGCTAGAAATATACTCAGACATCAAATGTACTTTCTATAGTAAAACATATGAGAATAGCTTATATGTAGATGTCTGCTATCCATGAAACCCAATGTTTCTTGATGAGACATAATAAGTGGCTGGCCTAGTGACATGTATTAGAGCTCACTTATTGACTGAACTATCTTTCTTATTTTTCATGACTCTTATTAGTTGAATTAGCTTCCTCCAAACCTTAAGGCTAGTTAGAAATGCCAATTAGAACTGAGGAGGGAACTGTTTTAAACAGACAAGCAAATAATAGAGAGAAGTAACTATTCGAAGACTTGCCAAAAGTAAAGAAGAAAATTAAATAATAAAGAGATTCATACATTTTAAAAAAGAAAGCAATCTGAATGGTTTAGAATTATCACAATGGCCAAAGATGCTTCAATTCATTGTATCAGCATGCTGTCATAATCAACATTGATGGCCAGTATAAATAAATTATCAAGGAAGACTTCCGCCAAGATGGAAGCATAGGTGAAAGCACTGCACCTTCTCACACAATCAAGTTTAAAAACAACAAAGTTTTAACAACAAAAACATAGCCAAACCACAGAAAATTGAACTACATGGAAGTCTGACAACAACAAACCCTTCAGCCAAACCAGTAAGAGGGGCAGAGCCAGCAGTGGATCAGGGTTGGGCAGGGAAGATCCACTGGACTCACCCGAGCTCGCAACCCACACGCACAGGCAGCTGTAGGCGGATCCCAGGTGTGGAGTACCGGGTGGACCCACTGAGGGCACAAGGCAGTGGACTCACTGAGGGCTGACCACAGTCACACATTCGAGCACAGATAAACCGGTGAAGGAGCGAAGCGGTGAGACAGACCGTGCAGGCCCAAGTGGTGGAAAGTGGCAAAAGGGACCACCATTGTCCCTCTCTGACCCTGCCCACACACACAGCATCACAAACCAGCGACCTGGGTGGCCCCACCCTGGTGAACACCTACTCATACATAACAGGCAGAAACAGATCAAAACATGGCTCAAGAACAACTCAGAGCCAAAGAGCCAATAAATCTAAGCAATGAAGAAATAGCCAATCTTTCAGATGCACAGTTCAAAACACTGGTGGTCAGGATGCTCACAGAACTGGTTGATTATAGTCACAAATTAGAGGAACATATGAAAACTAAACTAATTGAAATGAAGGGAAATGCACAGGAAACCAATAGTAAGGGAAAGGAAACTGGGACTCAAATCAAAGGAGTGGACCAGAAAGAGGAAAAAATGACCAAACAGAAAAGGACAAAGAAATAAGAATTCAAAAAAAATGAGGAGAAGCCTAGGAACATCCAGGACATCTTTGAACATTCCAACATCTGAATTATAGGGGTACCAGAAGGGGAAGAGGAACAGCCATGAGTGGAAAACTTATTTGAACAAATAATAAAGGAGAACTTCCCCAATCTGGCAAAGGAAATAGACTTCCAGGAAATCCCGGAAGCTCAGAGAGTCCCAAAAAAGTTGGACCCAAGAAGGAACACACCAAGGCACATCATCATTACATTAGCCAAGATTAAAATGAAAGAGAGAATTCTAGAAGCAGCAAGAGCTAAGGGGACAGTCACCTACAAAGGAGTTCTCATCAGACTGTCAGCTGATTTCTCAAAAGAGACCTTACAGGCAAGAAGGGGCTGGAATGAAGTATTCCAAGTCATGAAATCCAAAGACCTACATCCAACATTGCTCTATTAAGCAAAGTTTTCATTTAGAATGGAAGGACAGATAAAGTGCTTCTCAGATAAGATCAAATTCAAGGAGTTCATCATCACCAAGCCCTTATTACATGAAATGTTAAAGGGGCTTACCTAAGAATAAGAAGATAAAAAAGATGGAACAGTGAAAGGACAGCAAGCTCACAGTTATTAAGAACCACACCTAAAACAAAAGCAAACTAAGAGGACAGCTAGATCAGGAGCAGAACCATAGAAATGATGATCACATGGATGGTTAGCAACAGGGGAGTAGGAGAAGGAGAAGGGGGGAGAAGGTACAGAAAATAAGTAGCATAGACGGTAGGTAGAAAATAGATAGGGGGAGGGCAAGAATAGTGTGGGAAATATAGAATCTAAAGATCTTGAGACACGTGGTCATCAACTAAAGGGGGGGATGGTGGGGGAGGGGTGTGCAGGGTGGAGGGGAATGAAGGGGAGAAATAGAACTGTAATGGCATAATCAATCAAATATATTTAAAAAGTTATCAAGGAGGAGTTTCATGTCGTTACATGTCGTTAGGATAATTAGTACACGTGGAGACATTCTAGCAATATTTCTCGAGAATGAAGCTCCTTGGAGGACAATGACTTTATCGTGCTGCATCCCAGGGCCCTGATAAGTGCTGGCACAGAATAACTGCCCAACTAACAGGTATTAAGTACTTCAATGGGTTAAATTTCAAAGGGATTTTTTAAAAGTTTTGGAACTTAATTTAAGTGTGTCAAGTTTTATTATCCAGAAGATTCAATTATCAGGGAGATTCAAGATAACCCACTTCTTTTGTATTTTTTCAATGAAAAATGACAGTGTGATCTTATTTCATTTGGCTCATCTCATCAAAGGCCTACACCAAAGACATACTGTCATAAATTTTTTTTAGATAGCCCCAACTCTAACACCCTATGACTGTGGAATACCTCTGGAGAAAACTCCTCAGTGAAGCTTACAGCCTTTGCCTTCTTTCCAGAAATCTTATGTCCAAATCCACCAGATATCCATAATGGAAGGCACACAGGAAAACCTCTGGAAATCTTTCCTTATGGAAAAGAAGTAACTTACACATGTGACCCCCACAAAGACAGAGGGACGACCTTCATTCTCAGTGGGGAGAGCACCATACGCTGCACAAGTGACAGTCAAGGGAATGGGATTTGGAGCAGCCCTGCCCCTCGCTGTGGACATCCAGGTTAGTGCACACTACCCCACATCCTAAATGGTTCCAGAATACTCAAAACAAAACTCCCAAAGTCTTGTAAGTACAGTGCAATATTTTTTGTGCATGGGCACAATTAAATAATAAATTAGTAATAAATGATTTTACGATATGTCAACATGAAAGTTTGAGGACCTAACTTCTACAGGGTTGGAGAAGAGAGAGCAAGGTAGTGGGTGGTGATTCTAATTTTAACTAGAATTGGAAGAAAAATGTTTTCAAAGCATAGGAATTGAAAGTAAATCTTTAAGGACCTTAACTCACATAAGTTATGACATCCATAGACTTGGAGGGAAGCACAGTCCAGGAGAGAACAAAGCCTGGCAAAATCGCTTTAAATTGCATTGTAGACAAACAACATAGATTCTATTTTTTAACAATATTTTATTTATTTTTTTTAAAGAGAGGGAAAGGGAGAGAGAAAGAAAGGGAGAGAAACATCAATGTGTGGTTGCCTCTAATGTGCCCCCTATTGGGGACCTGGCCTGCAACCCAGGCATGTGCCCTGACTGGGAATAGAACTGGCAACCCTTTAGTTCCCAGTCCTTTAGCTCAATCCACTGAGCTACACCAGCCAGGGCACAATATAGATTCTTTCAGCCAGTTTGGCCTAGGTTGTAAATTAAAATAATGCTTATTTGGTTCTTTGCCCCCAGTAATTTTAGTCATTGAATTCTTCTCACTTCAGTAGAAATGAAAAGAAAAGGAATGTGAACCAAAAGGAGAATGCAAAATAAAGAGTGTGTATTTCCAAGGTCTGGAGAAGGTTTCCTAAGACACCCACCACTCTAAGACATCCATCTTCAGGACATAAACACAGAAAGGAGAAAGTGAATTGTAGAAGGGACCCTAGTCTTGATATTACTTACTGACTACTAAGAAACTCTGAGAGAAAAGAAAAATCCTAAAAGGAAAAAGACCAAGGGAAATTTCTCAGAAGTCATTTTTGTCCTCACTGCCCTTCTCTATCACAATGGCTTCAATGTCAGGTGCACTTATGAGCCTGTTTACCAATGTAGAGACCTAGTCCATACTTACTCAATCTATAATGAGACATAGTCTTCCCTTAAGTTCTATGATTTTGTTTTTCATCACAACCCTATCTGAAATGGCAACCCTTGTTTTATTAGATAGATTAGACTGGAGACATCTTCATATGTGATTTGTTCTTAGGGGTAAATTTCAATCATAATTGGGACTCCTTGAATTGGAAGCTAGTAAAGCTAATATTTCAGCTGCAAGATAAAAGTAAAGGGTGATATAAGTAAACTAATATCCTGTGGAATATCTTGAAAATAAGCCAATATTTATATGTAGAGAAATTATTGAATAATCTCAAGAGTTGAGAAATTGCTTTATAATCTTCCAACCAAAAAAGTTCTGGGTGCAGAATTGGTTGTGATATAACCATTTCTGTTTGAATAAGTGATTGGAAGGGAGGTGGAGAACAGCTGAAAGAGAAACTAAAAAAGAGGGTATTGTCAACCAAAGTGGAAGTGATTTCTATTTTCCTAAGCATATGTACTTTATTGGATTCACACATTTTGAACCCAAAGTGAGCCTAGAGCTAATAGGCCATAGGGGCATGGAGCTTTAAGTAGAATTTAATTCAATATACACTTCCAACAATGTTTTCTCATAATGGCAAATGTAGTATGTTAGTTTGTTTATTTTGAGGAGATGCTATCGGTTCCCCCTTGTGTCAAAGTGGCTTGCTTAGGAATCAGACCTACAGAACTAGTGGCTTCTTCCTAGTGTCAAGAAATACCTTGTGTTCTCTGATCACACTTGTGAGCCCTCCATGGGGGTTTCGATGCACTAAAGAACAGAGAAACCAGACAGGAATGGTGGAACCTGGGCAAGAGAGCTCTTTCCCCCCCAAAAAATGTGGAAAATTGAATTGGAGCTGTTTTGTACAGTAAATTATATGAGCAAAATGACCAAAGAGTGGAATGCCCTTTCAGGAAGTATATTTTCTAATGGACATGTGCTAATAATGGAACTTCCCCTCCCAAGGTTAGGTGGAAATGATCTCTCCAGGACTAAAAAGTTTCTTTCACTCTGGCATCAACTCCAACAGGAGAGAGAAATAAGGTCCTTGGGTATCTTTACATTAAATGTGCTGTTCTTGATATCTTGTTTCCTAGGTTACTGTAATGCCCCAGGTCATTTTCAATTTGCTAAGCTGAAAATCCAAACCAATGAATTTGAGTTTCCTGTTGGGACATCACTACAGTATGAATGCCTCCCTGGGTACTATAGAAAGTCATTCTCTATCAGTTGTCTAGACAACCTGGAGTGGTCAAGTGCCAAGGATGTCTGTCAACGTGAGTAAACCCTGCATTGGAGCTTTACGGTGTCTGTCAAATTATCCATAGGATCTTATCTAATCTTTTCCAAGTTTAGAGATAAGGAAACTTTGCTTCTCACAAGTGCCCCCACAGGTGGATGTAAGTCAGTGTTGTAGATCATCCCTAATTGTTAGTTGATGTGTTTGTTTCATGAGAATTTTCCAAGAAGTATTTGCAGGAAATGAAACATGTTTTACAGGAAAAAATAGAGAAGATAAATTGTTTGAATAACCAGGTAAGAAGAAAAAGTTTATACTAGTATGCAATAAGGCCATAATTAACCTTTACATTTTGATGACAAATTTCAGGTAGAGATAAGACAGGTCTAGATGAGAAGTCTGTGTTAACATGGTGTCTAGTAAGCAGCCCAACTCAGTTGGGTAAGTCAAAAATCTGTGGAACCTTCAGAATTGTATGTACTTGTTGGACAGCTATACAGTGAGGTTGGGACCTTATGTACTATAAAAGTTCATATTACTCTGGCTCCAAAATTCTGTTTCTTGCCACAGGTAAAGTATGTAAAACTCCTCCAGATCCATTGAATGGCATGGTACATGTAGACACAAACACCCAGTTTGGATCCAGAATTAATTATACTTGTAATAGAGGGTAAGTTGGCAGTAACATCTTTGATTCAAGATTTGCAGAATGGCAATACTACCATTTAGTCACATGGCAGTAGAAAGGAGACTAGACTATAACCATCTGCTGCTTAAAAGCCTGAACCTACATGTTTCGGTGTCTGATTGAAATGAACAAAGGTATGACAAGATAAAGGGGGAAATCTGTTAATCTTGCTGGAAAACACTACAGTGCATATAACAAAATCAAGGTCCTCACCAGGTACAAAGGAAGAAAATGTGGGGAGAGTATAGTCAAACCATATAGTGAAACCGTATAAACAGTCCTAACACAGTGCACATTGCTGGAATAAAGGGAAGCCCATGGAGCATTGAGTGGGAAAACAAATCTTCAAGGTAAATGCACTATTAGTTTTCTAGGGCTGCCATAACAAAGTACCAGGAACTGGGTGTCTGAGAACCACAGAAATGTATTCTCAGACAGTTTTTGAAGTCCAGAAGTTCAAAATTAAGGTGCTGGCACAACATGATCCCTTCAAAGCCCCAGAGGGAGGTTCTCTCCTTACTTTTGCCAGCTCCTGGTAGCCTCAGTCCTTCTTGGCATGTGGCTACATCACTCCCACTTCTGTTTCTGTCCTCCCATGGCCATCTTCCCTCTGTGTCTGTGTGTCACCTTCTTCCCCCTCACCACACACAGAATTTCTCCTCTCTGTATGGCTTAATGTCCAGAGTTCCATTTTTATGAAGATGCCATTCCTATTGGATTAGGGCCACCCTAATGGCCTCATGTAGTCTTGATTACATCTTCAAAGACCTTACTTCCAAATGAGGCCACATTCATGGGGATTGGGATTTAGGAGTTTAACATATCTTTTTGAAGAAAACTATTTAGCCTGCAATAGACCCCTGTGAAAATGTCTGACATAAAATGTATACTAGGTGGTTGTCCTGCCCTTGGTGTTTACCCTTGCTCAGCACACAGTGGACTCTTGACTGTACTCTCATTTTGAGCAGCTGAGCCCATTAGAGAATCTGGGCTACATTTGTGCCAGAATTGGCACTGGAAGGTCATTTTGGTCTGTCCTCAGCAAATGTATTTGCCACCCAAGGCCTAGAAGACCATAGTACATGTAATCTGACAAAGTAAAATTAGAGCAAATCTAAATACTTTCTCTTTCTCTGAGCACTTTTAAGTACAGTCTCTAAATACTCTGGCTGTACCTTCTTCATCTTTCATTACCAAGTGAGGTGAACCTGTCTATAGTATGAAACAACAAACCATCAATCTCATGACAAATCACAGAAAAAATGTAAACAGACGAAGTTGAGGAATCAGTATGTCTTCTCACAAAACAGTTGCTTCCAAGAGATTGGGAAGACTTTTCAAAAATGTCTGGCGTATGTATTTTTTAACTTTAACTTTAAGATTAGATTTGGGTGGCAAATACTCATTGCAATATACAGATGATCTATTATAGAATTGTACACTAGCAGCCTATAAATATTATTATATGCCATACCAATGCCATACCAAGAAATTTACTTTAAATATGATAGAAGAAAAATAAAAGGATTTTAATAACTTCAGCACTTCAGAAGGGAAATTCATAACTATAAACCCTGCAAAAATGTCGATGAACATTGATGTAACTCTGATCCTTTCCATTACTAAATTGCTGAAGATAGTGTTTCTAATGAGCCCAGCTATATTCATTTCTATAGCCTCCAAATATACATTCATAGAAAAATGGCAACATAAGTATACACAGTGGAAAAAGTCCAGGCTGTCCAGAAATAATTTTTAAAAAAATGATGAAGCATAAAAATGCTATCAGTGATGTAAAATTTGCAACCCCCACAAAAAAAATTCACATCATTTTCAAAAAGCTTGGTCAAATATTTTCAACAAAGTTAAGAAACTAACTGGAATGATAGAACTAATTGTTCAAAATTGAAACTTTGCAATGTAATAATTAAATAACAATCTCTAAAGTTATAAAATGTATTCATAAAACTTGAAAAAATGGGAGAGAGCAAGAAAAGATATGCTATACCTACATTACATAGGGGATAGGCAAACCATACATATTTTGATGACACTAAAATTGAGAAAATAGACCTAAGTATGAATGTTTGTGTATATATGCAATCTGCACACATGAAATGAAATATCTAATGAAATAAAAATTGGACATTTAACTTCCAGTTTACTGGAACACCTAAAATAGTTCACCTTTCTGGTTCATACATAAAATGCAAAGGCTCTAACAAGATCAAGGGCACTGTGTATGATGATGCTTAAAGAACCATGCCTAAATTAAAATGACATAGCAGTGCTAACTATATATGTATACTAGGAAAATGCCAAGGTTTAAAACTGGTGATAATAATAATATGAGAAAAATACAGAAATGAAGAGGTAAAGTATTAAACAGGTTTACAAAAGGATTGTTTATTTTGGTGCCTCGTGCAATACATAATGAAGCCAAAAACTAAGAAGCAGAGTATTACTGTGAGAAATTAAAGATGAAGTAGCCCTCACAAGAGTTAGAGGATAGGAAAAGAGAAACAAGAAAACCCAGATCAAACAAGTGGAGTTTATGCTAGTCCTTAGACTCCCCCAGATGAAATCTTGTCAAATCTGCCTTGTATTCAGGTTGTGCGGAAGCTGGTGGGAGGTGGATAGAATAATTTTCACATTTTACCTTTAGGTACAGTCTCATTGGCCACGCATCTGCCCAATGTATCCTCTCGGGTAATACTGTCATTTGGGATATGGAGCCACCATTCTGTGAACGTGAGTTAAACTCTCTTCCTATTTATCCCATCAGTTAATCCTAGCATTGCCCCCCTGAAATTACTTAGAATCAGTCTGACCCCTCTTGGCAATGATATTCTTCCAATATTTCAAAAGAAAATGGTTATATGCTGAAAAGTGCTTGCAGTGTTCTAAGCTCCTAGTTCCTTCTGGTTTTTCCTTATCTTGGCATATAATTTATTTAAAAGAGCCCCCCAGCTTCCTCTTTTATTGGTTGAACATTTCCCAGTCTGAAGATCATTCACTTCAGTATTGTAAACAAATGCAAAGTTAGTGAAAGTAGCCTAGCTTCCTCTCTGCCAACTCTCAACATCAGGTCATGCACTGCCTTCCTCCTGGTTCTTTGAACAATGGCATGGCATGCTGTCTTCCTGTGAGATGTTTAGAATATGAGCTTCCTACACCTTGGGTAGGAAGAAGTATGAGCATTTGCAAATTAACATAGAATACAAAGAGGCTATCTACCCTGGGTTTGGTGATAATGTGAAGAAATCAACACACTCAAACCTAGACACTGGGAGGATAAATGGGAACAAAATCTCTAAGAAGCTAGTATATGATAGGTATCAACCCTCAATTGTGTTCATGCCTTACACTAAGAAGTTGACATTTATGATTTATTCTTAAAATCTAATTCCCATGATTTCTGCAAGGGTGTCGCTATGCAAATATTTACCTGCATTGTTGTTTGTGATAGTGAAAAAGTCAAAACAATGTAAATGTTGATCGTATTTCAGTGTTTCAGAAATAAGGATCTCCAAACAGATGTGAGATGATTCTTTGGAAGAAAATACAATTTTTTATTATAATGAGTTTCATTTTGTGCTTAAAAAATTTCTGTTTATCAGTTTTCAAAGCACTGAATACATTAGTACTTTGTATGTGTGTATTATTTACAACTAAAGAGAAATACCCACAATGGGAAAAATCAAAAGGATAAGGCATGAGTTTTGCAAGCAAAAAAATAAAAAGTTTAAAATGTGCCAGAATTCATTAGCCAAGAGAGACAGCTCTTTGAAATGAAATTGTACAGTACATGTTCCACTGAAATATTATTAAGACAACAGAGATATTTTGGAAAACATATGGTTTGTGTGTCTGCATGTATTGAAGATTACACATTAAAGGGCTCTCAGTGGTGCTTCTAGATAATGGACTGAAAGATTATTTTCATTTATATTTTATAAATGTTCTACCAGAAATATGTGTCTTCTTAAATACTTTAAAGTAAAATAAATAAATAAATAAATAAATAAATAAATAAATAAATAAAATATTTTTACGTTAATGTATACCTGCCAAAAAATGATAGAAAATACATTGTATGCTTTGGAATGCTTTAAAATACCTAGGAGCGATCTGATATTTAGATATTAGATTTAATTTGTCCATAAAGTGACATGTGTTTTTTGAAATGTTTTATGAGTGGCATTTTGATACATTTTCCCCACTGCTATATCCTCCATTTTTCTGACTCGATATTGGCAAAATATGGCAATATTGACACTATATTCTTAATACTCACATTTTCCAAATTAATAGGGTACACTAGAACACATACTCGGTTATTTTTATGACTTCTGAATCTGTGATTATTGTGCCATGTATGAAACTTTGTATTTGTGCTTTACCTCTATTTTATTAGTTGTGCCAGAGATTCCGTTTGTATTTATTTGATAAAGATGCCATACTGTATGCTACATCATATTGCTAACCAATAGAATAAAGCCAAATGCTTTCTATAGAAAGAGAACTGAAGTAATTATAGTGAAATGACATAAAAGTTCACACAATATGAGACACTTAAGACATGACACATTCATTGAAATGACATTGATGGAGGAGGAAGGACAGGAGCCATCATATTGTGATCATGGAATCTACAGTTATGCAAAAACATGTCTGTACCTTAGAAAAGATTAGACAAGAGCAGAAGTGCTGAGACTAAATTCATATTCATTGAGTTGGATTTTTAAAAAACCCAATTGTCACCAAGTATAAATATAACTTATAAGATATCGAGGTTTTGTTTTCCTTGCTGTCCCCTCTTTAGGTATTCATTGCAGGCCACCCCCGGGCATCACCAACGGAGATTTCTTTAGCACCAACAGAGAGTATTTTCCTTACGGAACGGTGGTGAAATATCGCTGCAATCCTACAAAGACAAGGGAAAAGTTTGTCCTCGTGGGTGACGAGTCAATATATTGCACCAGCAAAGACAATCGTTTTGGCACCTGGAGCGGCCCTCCACCTCAGTGCTTCATACCTAATAAATGCACCCCTCCAGACATTGAAAATGGAATAAGGGTGTCTGAGAACAGAAGCTTCTTCTCCTTAAATGAAATCGTGAGGTTTAGGTGTGAGCCTGGCTTTGTCATGAAAGGACCCTCCAGTGTGCGATGCCAGGCCCAAAACAAATGGGAGCCAGAGTTGCCCAGCTGCTCCCGGGGTGAGTCTGACTGAGGCTTTGAAGGGGCCTGCAGAGGACCCGAGCTGTAGGAGGACCAGGCATGGTATTGGTGTATGTTCTGGGAGGAAGATGGGTGGTGAGCAGTGTGAGTCAAGTTTCCCTGGATGAAGCATGAAATAAAGAAGGGATATGTGTGTGCACACATGCTGTGCTTGTGCCTTTACATGGAGAAGCAAGGGCTTAATTAATCAAGAAAGGAGATATTTGGGACTTTCATGTTGGATAATTCTGAGGCTGCACTACTGGCCCTCAGTTACATGGGGAAAAGGATGTGAACTTTCCAGTCAACTGTGATAAGTACTTTACATGCACTATCTCATCAACTCTTTACAACCTTCCTTTGAATTAGTCTTAATCATTTATCTGTATGACAGTGAAGTTAGCTTGGTCTTTCAGAGGTTAAGTAAATTGTCCAAATCAGGTGCCAGTAAGTGGCATACCCAAGAATTGAATGCATGTGTGTCACACCCTGGAGCCTGAATGCTGTGCTTCTTTCCATATTCCTATCAGCACCCATCACAGACAGAAAGACTGTTTATCAAGACCATTAGTCTAGCTTCAGAATAGTCACAAGGACCTCAGGGTGTGTCTGTTCTGTTCCACATCCTACATTTTACCATGAGGAATCTGCAGTTAAAAGTGAAAGCAGCTTCCTAAAAGACAAAGAGATTTTTCATTCATCTTTCATTAGATAGCCATTAGGTTGACATTCAAATCAGTTCTCATGTCCTAAGCACACATCCAAAGGGCTGCTTATGGAGGCATTTAAACCTTGACTCACATAGTCTCTAAGCAATGTGCCCTCTGGTTACGAGGGCCAGAATATTGAGGGGCTTTTGTTCTTGATGGCTTGTTTTGTCTCCTTATGCCATAATTGCTGGCTTAGGAGTGGCCTGGTAAATAATTGTGATGGATACACAGGGATAGAGATGAAGCTTACAGTTCTTCCACCATCCTGCATTAGCTTGTGTGATCACTGAAAGAGCAGCTGGGAGGACAGACAGATGTAGATAAGAATTTTACTACACTTCGGTCACAAGGACACCATAACAGAGATGAAGGGAAATCTGTTAAATAGATTTACACTCAGACAATCTTCTCATTATCTGAAAGATGAAGCTGTAAATTAGATGACCTTTAGCAAATATGTGCATGGGGAATCCCACCAATACTAACAACTTTTTTCTAAATAGCCAGCACCAGAAGAAGTGGTCCTGTGCCTGGTGAACTGATGCTTGTGTTTCAAACCTTGTGCAGGGAAAGAGTAGGTTCTAATTCTCTAGCTGTTACTCATGTGTGGACTTTGGCTACAGCTCTCCCTTATTCTTAATTTCCACCTGAGTAAAATGCAGAGAGATTGGGGTATCAGTTGTCTTTCTTGGTTAGACCTAAACCACTCTAATTTAATTATCCTGGAGTCTCTTAACTCCTTAGTAGAGTTAAGATTTAGGAAAAAATATTTCCCCATAATTTATAATAACTTTTACTTGTTCTTTCCTCAGTATGTCAGCTGCCTCCAGAAATCGTTCATGGTAAGCACACCCTCAGTGACAAGGACAACTTCTCCCCTGGGCAGGAAGTGTTCTACAGCTGTGAGCCTGGCTATGACCTCAGAGGGGCGGCCTCTCTGCGCTGTACACCCCAGGGGGACTGGAGCCCCGCAGCGCCCAGATGTGCAGGTATATACGCTCCTCTCCCGTTTGAAATTTTTAGCTTGGGGCTTTACTTTCCACCTGCCTAGGTTACCTGTTTTCCTTTTTTTTTTTTTTTTTTCAGTGAAATCATGTGCGAAATTCCTGGACAAACTTCCTAATGGCCATGTGCTCTTTCCACTTAATCTCGAGCTTGGAGCAAAAGTGTCCTTCGTTTGTGATGAGGGGTGAGTGTGAGCTTGCCAGGCCTTCTGGAGACCGAAATTGGACTTAGAAGTTAATTCAAAATGGGAAGTTTGGGTATGGCAAAAAAAAAAAAAGCTACCTCAGGAGCATTAAATTTTGAAAGTGTATAAGAAAAGTAGAAGTAAGATTTTCTTGCCAATGTTTTTATCTAGGACTTGTAGGTGTTGTGACTTATATTATGTCTTTTATTCACCTTGAGTTAATTTTTGTGTTTGGTGTATGTTGGTGATTGAGTTTCATTTTTTTTGCCAGTAGCTGGGCAGATCTCCCAACACCTGTTGTTGAAGAGTATCTTTTTACTCCATTTTATGTTTCTTCCTTCTTTGTCAAATATTAATTGACCATACAGACTTGGGTTTATTTCTGGGCTGTCTGTTTTGTTCCCTTGGTCTAGGTGTGTTCTTGTGCCAGTACGAGGGTGGTCTGTTTATAGTGGCATTGTAATACAGTTTGATATCAGGTGTTTGAGACAGCATGGATGGAACTGGAGAGCACTATGCTAAGTGAAATAAGCCAGGCACTGAGGGATAAATGCCATATGATTTTACCTTTAACTGAAATGTAATCAACAAATGGAAAAAAGCAAGCAAGATATAACCAGAGACACTGAAAGTAAGAAAAATCTGACAGTAACCAGAGGGAAGGTTGGAGGGATTAATGGAGGGAAGGGTTTCCAGGAACTACTGTAAAGGACACATGGACAAAACCAAGAGAGGAGGAAGGGTTTGGCTGGTGTGGAGGGGAGTGGTGAGAGAAAATGCAGACAACTGTAATTGAACAACAATAAAATAATTCAAAAAACAAAAAGCAAAAAACAAACTAAAAGAAAATTGAGAATAAGAAACAGGTGGAAGTAATGAAACGTGAAGAAAAAATTGGAACATATATTAAATGGCATGCATAAAGATAATACAATGAATGGCTATGAATACATGTGTTGTATGTTGTGTGGAAAAAAACACATTTCCCAAGCAGAGGGGAATAAAAGTAATTTGTAGAGTCCCAAGAAAAGTTTGGTATGTTACAAAAAGCTTATTTCAAATAATTAAGATTATTTAAGAAATATCAGTCTTTTTTTACCATCAAAAGTGAAATTTATAATAGGAGCAAGAGTATAATAATAAGCATTTTAATATAATCATATATCTTCTGTTTGGTGATAGGTTAAGTGTTCTGAATTGTGATCATGGTAGCTGATGTGATATTTTAGGTAAGGTCATTAACTTGCCTAAAACATCAAGTTCATGTGAATCTGGTGCTTTTCAGTGTGAGCACATCTGGGCATGGGAAGGATCAAGTGTGAGCAATGAAAGACCTGTCTCGGACTGTTCCAAAGCATCCTGGCAGGCACCCAGTGGGAGTACCTGATAAGATTTAGAAGCCACCAGGGTCCCACATAACATTGAGAATTCTTAATGGTTTCATACAAAATAATTTCTGATCTCCTTTCCTTTTTCCCTAGAATATTCAAACCTAGTCTCCAGTGGCCCAGTGTACTGTTGGGAGCTTCCCTCATAGCCATCACAGATGTAGAGACCAAAGAACAGCCTTTGTTCTCTTTGAAGTTATTCTCTGTTTTTTTCAGTCCAAACTGGGAGAAGTTTTAGTTAGTCTCTCATTAACAGAATTAGGCAGCCATTGCATTAGAAAACTGATTTTCTCATCAGGGCACTGAGTAGAGATTTATCAGGTTTGTGTTGGAACAGTCAGCTAAAGATTCACTTCTCAAAGTCTGAGTCCAGGATCAAGGAGATGGCTGCTCTGCTATGCCTGCCTTCTTCAAGGCTGGGACTGCATGTTATGTGACCAGCTCACAGTGCTTTACTGTTCTCCCCTCCTGGAGGCCATGATCTGTCCAGATTGGAGTGGCCTGCAAACCTCTGCCATCTGTTGGTTTAAGATGCTTAGAGTTTTGGCAAACTGAATGGCATTTTGGCTAAACCAACTCACCTATTCATTACCTCTCTCTTTTTTAGATTCCATCTAAAAGGCAGTTCTGCTAGTCATTGTGTCTTGGCTGGAATGGAAAGCCTTTGGAATAGCAGTGTCCCTGTGTGTGAACGTGAGTAGAAGGAATATCTGTTCAGGTCTGCAATTTTGTCCTTTTTAAAAATTTTCTTACTGTGTTTTTGTTCCATGAAATTATTAAGTGTCTGCTGCTCTGTTTATCTTTGTTTTTGTGTGAAATATTTCTTTGTTGTATTAGTTAAAAGGAATGTTTTTTGGAAGAGTGACCCTGAGCATCATGGTTTTTGGTACCATCCACAAAATATTTGTTGCGTACTATGGTGCTATAAATGGGAGAAGTGCTTTATAGGTGGAGAGAAATTTGTGCCCTGAAGCTTTGTCAAATTTTCCTGTCAAAAGTGATGCACACATTCCAGCCTATCATTTTCTGAATCACCTGTATTCATTTATATACATTTTTTAGCACCTACTATGTCCCAAACAGCCTTGTAGACTCCTGGATTATGCCTATAAACAAGATAGACTAGGTCCCTGCTTCCACGTTATTTATATTCTTAGACAGAAATAAAGATTCTTAAAAATAGCAAGTAAACAAGGAACAATAAGTAAATAATTTCAAATAATATTAAGTGTTATTAAGAAAACAACCAAGGTAATGTAATAGACTAGTTATGTGAATAGGAGTAAGGAATGGCAGGGAAAGAAGAAAGTTTTCATTTTAAATAAGGTGATTAAGGAAGGCCTCACTGAGAAAGTAATTGCAGTCATTTAAGCATTGAGAGCAGTTAGTTGGCTACCAATATGAATACCTAGAGAAAGAATCTCCCCTTCAGATGGAGCACAAAGTGCAGAGAAAGTCCCAAGGCAGAGATATTCTTGGCATTTTCTTTGAAAACCCTGTCCTAACATTTTCTCAGAAGCTTATACAGCTTTTGTAGAGTTAACAAATACAACAGTAGTAGGAGGTGATAAAAGAAAAGTAATCTGTAAGAACTTGTTCTCACTCTGAGCAAGATGGAAAGCCATTGGAGTATTGTGACCAGAAAAGTAACACAGTTTAACTTACTTTTAATGATATAACTCATTACTCTAGAGAGAAATAACTTGAATGGGTATATCTTAGAAGGAGATTCCCCAGAAATAGTACCAGAGGAAATTTTTATATTACAATGTTCCATCGGAGGGTATAATATAATCCCAGAGCAGCAATACTGAAGGAGGAGAAAAATAGAGGCAAGGAGGAAAAAACAGCAAATAAATAAATGATACTATGTTACCAAGGTGGCCATAAGCCTCACAAGAAAGAAAGCTGGTTTTTTGGTCACATAAAACATCTATATGGAACCAAAACTCTTTATCAGAAAGAGGAAAAGGAACATATTTCTTGGATCTTTTCTGTCTCCTGTCTCATGTTTATTCCAAGAATATTAAGCCCCTGGTTTCCATGTTGTGTTAACTCATCCCTATGTTCAGACTCTAGGGACCTCACATGACCCGCAGCATGGTACTCAATCTAAGCCTGGAAGTAGAAGGAGCCGAAGTGATCATGCATACAGTCGTATTAGCTTGGATGTGGGAGCTGCATTGATCTCCACTGCAGCAGAATAGCAGAGGCTGTTTAGGTGCCCGTCTTTCACCCCTGCAGAGGCTGACACAGCCAATGTTGTTTGCAAGTGAGGGAACAGTGAGTGTGCTAGATTAGGAAAGCAGCTAAGTGGCCAAAAGTCAGGTATAGCCAAGAAGGTCTGAGGGTGCAAATTGGGAAGCTACTACAAAATCTAATCACAAATGTTGTCCCAGGATACCAGTGGCTGAGGTGATAAGAAGTGCTCGAATTATGGATACATTTGGAAGGTAGAAATGACACAATTTTTTGATGGGTTACACATAGAGATTAAAATGGAGACTAAATAAGGTCACATAGGGAATGACTGTGGCCAGAGAACAATAGAGGCAGGGGCTAAATTCTGTCAATCCAACAATAAGAACTCAGAAACAAGAGAAGGAATGTGCAGAAGAGATGAAGAAGCAGCTGGTACATTAAGAGAAAAAGCAGGAAGATGAGCGTATCTTGGAAGCCAAGTGAAGAAATTCTTTTAGGAAAATGGTACCAAGCAACCATATCAAATTCTACAGAAAGATCAAATAAGAGGAGGTCAGAAAATTATCATTGGGTACAGTGACTTGGACATAATGAGTAACCTTGGCAAAAGCAATTTCAGTACAGTTGTGGGTGCACAAGCTTGATTGGAATGAGTTCAAGGGGGAAATAAAGGGAGTAAAAATTCATAGACAACATCTTAAAGAAATTCTAATGTAAAATATGTAGAGAAATTAAACTATAGCAGCAGAGGGAAATCAAATTAAGAGTTATTTTTTGTTTGTTTTTAACATGGCAGTGAGTTAAATACAGAAACACTACCAAAATGTCTAGTTTGTCATTTATTTCTTCACTAAATCAGACAGAATGTTGTTTCATTATATGTTTTATAATAGAATTTTTCACATGAATATTTTGCTTTAGAAGTATTTGTACTTTTTGTACTGATTTATATAATGAAACTTGATAATTAGATCTTTCGTATTTGGAAGTCACCTAGTGGAAAGTATTAACTTTCTTAAAGTGTAGTTATAAATCATGAAGTAAAAAAATACTCACATCAACCCAAAGATATACCTAAAATTGCTTGCTAGTGTATAAACATTAATTAAGCTACTCCACCCTATGATTAGCTTATCCCTGATTCTATCAAGCTGCAGTATCCTTTTCCCAAATACAGATCAAACCAGAAGGGAGCTTCTCCAAATAGTTCCATTCAAAAGAAGAAACAGCTGGCTGGTGTAGCTCAGTGGATTGAGCACGGGCCTACGAACCAGACAATCGCGGTTCGATTCCCAGTCAGGGCACATGCCTGGGTTGCAGGCCAGTTCCCTGCAGGCCAATTCCCAGCAGGGGACGCACGAAAAGCAACCATACATTGGTGTTTCTCTCCCTCTCTCCTTCCCTTTCCCTCTAAAAGATAAATAAAGAAAATCTTTAAAAAAAAAAAAAGAAGAAACGTGTTTCTTCAGTGAGGAATAAAACCTGTAAAAACTAATAAGTATCTCAAAAGTCATAACATTGCTGAGCATTTTGGAGCATTCACAGAAGTATAGAGGATGTTTCACTTTATTCTGATGTTACTGTCAACATTTTATTTTTGAGAATGTTAGCCTCAAGTCACCAAGACAAGATTTCATCACTAATGAAGAAAGAGTAAATGTATAATATATTTTGAAGGATTTCTTTAAAATGAAGATCCTTGATGTGAAAAGAGTTTGTCTATCTTGTGTTTGATATATTATAGCAGGTGCTCAAAAACCTGCATATTGAGTTAATGGATGATTTTCTTATTAAATCAATGATTTTCTTGTTAATGTGGTTAAGAAATTTCTGTTTACTTCAAATGAATAAGCTCTCAATTATCCAGAAATCTTAACTCTCTGAAGAGTTTAGGATGCTAAAGTCATTTTTGGACTTTTGCAATAAACATTGATTTAGGTGTCATTTCATTTAGCTGCATCCCAGCAAAGAACTAACATATGTGTTTTGCAATCTATACTCTCCCTAAGAGTGTAATTGTTTTTTTTTTTTTAGTGGCAACATCATCAGAGCATCCCATAACTAAAATTGAGTCAGGTTAAAATATAAACATTTTAATGTAATTTATGGCTCTTGTCTTCATTCTAGAAATCTTCTGTCCAAATCCTCCAGCAATCCTTAATGGGAACCACACAGGAACTTCTCTGAGAAACATTCCCTATGGAAAAGAAATATCTTACACATGTGACTCCCATGCTGACAGAGGGATGACCTTCAATCTCATAGGGGAGAGCACCATCCGCTGCACAAGTGACAGTCACGGGAATGGGATTTGGAGTGGCCCTCCCCCTCACTGTGAACTTTCTGTTCCTCTTGGTCAGTACCCACCTCCACATACCCTAAATGGGTTCAGAACATCTGTACCAGATCCTTCATATTTCCACAATAAGATTGTAGTATTTACTTGTGAGTTTATCTTTGTCATAATTGGAAGTGTCAATATTTTATTCCATAGCTAAAACAGATGGTTCCAGCAGTACCAAGCTATGTTTGAGAGTAGGGGAGGTGCTAATTAATAACTTATCTTGCTGGTTAAGTGGTAAGGAGAGTAGGGTAAGAGGTGCCAAGGGGCTGGGCAGGGAGAAGGCAGTATGCACTTCCTGTGTGAATCAGGAAGAAAAATGTATTTGTTGGAGAGGACAGGAAAACAAATGTCTGTGAACACTAACAAATATCAAGATAACTAAGAAACGCTCTGCACAAGTTCATGGGCATGCAAAACATAAAACTGGCATTATAGATATTATTTATTAGCTAGTCTTATGCTGAATAGGTTAAGTAACAAAAGGACTCACTTTACTTTTGGATCTAAAGACATCAACTCAAAGTACACTTGTTTGTCAGCTTACCTCAGGACCCCATTTTAATGTTTGTCCTTCAACTCTGGGAGTGAGAAGAAGCAAAGAAAATCAGCTCAAGTAAAATCCTATGAAAAGGAAGAGACTATTTCTCTCTAAGGACTGGAGCAGATTGCCTGGTCCTTGAGGCCTCACCTAAGAATGGCCTTCTTAATGGTAGTAAGCCTTCTTAAGAATGGAACCTGGAGTAGACTCAGGGGTGGCACCAGCCTTGCAATACCACATGCTCTACACGGGAGTCCTGAGAGAAAAGAGCAATCCAATCTAATGAGAAAAGGCCACACATGATCAAAAGCATTTAACTTCTCTTTGAGCTCACTCATCCTCCAACTGGGCTGTATAGATCAGAATCTAGTGAGATTTCTTTAAATGCAAATGCATAGACTTTGGTCAGGCTCACTAAATTGACAAACAAAAGCAGTCTCCTCCAAAGAAGAGATAGCAGAGTTCAGACTCTATTTCAAAATATGAAGCACACAATATACCTTCTCACAAAGAAGACATAGCTTCTTAGAGGATGCCACTTAGTAGCTTAATACATTTTGTTCGTGTCCTTAAATGTCTAGTTCAGCAGCAGAAAGAGAATGGTCTATTCATTTTCTGGGGCCACTATAACAAATGACCAGAAACTAAGTAGCTTCAAATAATAGAAATGTATTCTCTCTCAAATCTGGAGGCTAGAAATCTGAAATCAAAGTGTTGGCATGGCCCCATTCCCCTCTACAGCTCTAGGAGAGAATCCTTCTTTGCCTTTTCCAGCTTCTTAGTACTCCTAGATTGTGGATACGTCACTCTAATCCCTGACTCTGTCTCTACATGGCCTATTCCCCTGCGTCTCTGCCTCTCAAATCCCTTTTTCTCTTTTACAAAGAAACCACCAGTCATTGACTTTAGGCCCACTCCAGTAATCTAGTATAATCTCATCTCAAGATCATCACCTTAATTATATATAAAAAGACCTCTACTCTAAGTAAGTTCCGATTTTGAGATTCTGGTTGGATGCATCTTATGGGGGGGACCTCTTATGGGGGGATGCATCATTAAATAGCAAGTGGTGACTGCTATTTAGTGCCAAAGAGGCAGCTTATAATGACATTCTGGAAAAGGAACAGGGAGGAATAAGTGGAAAAAGATGGTAAAATGTGCCTCAATATGCACTGGTACATTAACACCAATGTATGAGGATGTGAGTGGTTAACTCTTGGCACAGACACTCTGACAGGAGGACTGATGTATGAAATAAGAGAAGAAAGTCCAGAAAGGTGAATGGTATTGACATGGCAAAAATATTTTTATGACTAGGTTTTGTTGGAAAAAAACATTTTAAGGTAACTTCAAGAAGAAGAAAACTTTTGCAATTATTATGACTCTGTTTCTGTGATCCCATATATCCATTTACTTGGAGAGAAAGGCAGGTAAAATGGAAGTCTCATTGCTCACTTTGGTATTCCTGTGGTTTTGGTCTCCAGGTTACTGTAAAGCTCCAGAACAATTTCTATTTGCCACGCCTACAGCCCTAACTGATGGGTCTGAGTTTCCAGTTGGGACATCTTTGAACTACAAATGTTCCCCTGGGTATTTTGAGAATATGTTCTCTATCACCTGTTTAGAAAAGTTGGTCTGGTCAAGTGCCAAAAGTATCTGTAAACGTGAGTAACCTGATCAAAGCATTTGTGGGATCTGACTTGATTTGTTTTGATTTTGAAGGTGAGACATATCACCTTCAAAGTTTGCCTTAAAGGTTGCCTCACCTTAAAGTTTGCCCCAAATATTTAAATGAAGGGTGGACTTGTAAGTCATCCCTTTTTATTGTCTGGGATTCTGCACCTTGACAAGATACTCATTTCATGGGAAAGACTCACACAAAAGGAATTGGAGGGAAATTTTCCATTCACTGGAGGTTACATTTGAGGGCTAGAAACATGAATGAAAAAGGAACACAAAAGAAAATTATGTGAGTTTCAGTGAACTGTGCTTTGGTAAGTAAGATGGAGGGAAATCCTAAATTATCAAGCCTTTGATTTAGGCTGGTAGGATAAAAACCATTCTTTTGCCATACTTAACTTGTATTAGGAGATACAGGGTAGTCATTTTAAAAGCAGTGCTCTGTAACTGCTTGATTCTAAGGTTATATAGTGAGTCTCCTCAAAGTGGCAGTTCTGTGGAAAAATCACAGATATACAGGCTGTTTAATATGCTACACTCCAGTCTAAATCTTAAGAGTAAATGTAAATTGAATTCTATGCCTAGTTTAAAATTCTGTTTCTTTCTTACAGGAAAATCATGTGGAACTCCACCTGAACCCATCAATGGCATGGTACATATAAACACAGATACCCAGTTTGGATCAACAGTTAATTATTCTTGTAATGAAGGGTGAGTTTGGAGCACTGTCTCTGGAGTATGAATTCCAAAACAGCAATGCCAATCTCTCTCCCAGTCTTAAGATAGGCAAACTAGACCATTGCCCTCTATAGTTTAAAAAGTAATCATTGGGACTTCTTCAGAGAGATAAATATGATGAAAGGAGTCTAAAAGAGCAGGAACAATCCATGTCTGGGTAACAAACTAAGGAAGGCACCATGCTCCTGCCAAAGCTAGTACATGTGAAATCTGGCAAGTTATCCACTGGATAGAAAGGACCAGCCTGGTAAATCAGTAAAATGAAAAATACTTGTAGAATCCTGCAAACGTTCATAAGTGAGATCAGCAGGTATTTGAGCTGAGTTGGAGGACCCTAAAGAAGGGGTTGAAAGAGTAATTCTTGTGCAGCAGCAGTCTAGGGAAATGTAGGTATTAAAACACACACAGAGAGGGGACGGACACTAATGGAGTTACTTGTTTGGTACAAAAAAACTATATCCAGTTTGGCTTTTCCTTGGTATAGCAACTGAGCAGAAGTGATCACCCCAAATTAGAGGGAGTAATTAAAGAGAATGCACTAACTTTTAGTTGCCACAATAAACTTAGAGAGATAAAAGGTAGCCATGTATATTACATCTTTCTGCAAAAACAACCCTGGTGTCGGCCCTATTTTACTAGAGTCATTGTACCTGTCGTCCAGCAATATTAAATGAGGATAAGTTAACACTCACCCCCTGCTCACTTTGTCTAAGTCTGGAGATTTTAATACTTTTCCATATAATATCTTCACCAATCCCTCTCACCTCCCTTTGTGAAAAATCATAGAGCTTTCTTTCTTTCATGAGTAAAAAAAAACATCAGGACATACAAGGGAAGGAAGATACAGTAATTGAACAAAAGAGAGCAATCTAAGATATCAGAGAAAATATTCCTCAGCAAATCAGTGTACTCCAATAAATAAAGGAATAAACTCCAAAACAGGATATTAGAAAACTCTCATATGTGTTTACAACACAGAACCTATGAAACAATAAGAGGCATTTGTGAGATTTAATGATATGATATCAGTAAGGTTTACACATGAATAAATACACAGAAGTCTAAAAAAGCAACAGTGATCAAGAGATTCAATTCTAAAGAAAAAGAAAAAGAAATCAAACAAATGATGTGAAAACTGGATTAACTTCTCCTGAATAAACCAAGAGCCACACTGAAAATTATAAACACACATGTATGCACTCTCACATACATTGAGACATGAGGAAAAAAATTAAAAAGCAAAAAGAGGTGAGGTATCATTTAGCACATAATGGAAGGTACTTTCCCAGGTCAGAAAGAAAAAGACTAGATTGTTCAAATCTTAAGGCTTACTAAACAAATGCAAGATTAATAAGAGACCCTCATCCTCCATGCAGAAAATGTATGAAAATTAGATATTTAAAAAATCTTGCAACTACCCAGAGGTAAAATAAACAGAAAAAATAAACATACTATCATCAATGCTTCTTCCACACACTAGATAGCAAAAATAGTGCTCTGAGGGAAAATACTGTGCCATGAAATATCTGTACTCAGTTAAAGCACAGAAGTATAGTCTTACATGACCAAGAACCTGAAATATATCCTAATTAGATATATTTATGAAAAAGAAATAATATTCCCATATTATATGTGTTTTGACATCTTTTATGTGAGTACAATACATAGTGTTAACTAGAAGATATACATTATAATACAATAATATTAGAAATTCATAAGCAAAGAAATTAAAACAGAGTTTTGGGTTTTGGTCAGAGAGAAAATTAGAACAGTGATTGCAGATTACATATAGAAAAATAGTAATGAATGATTATTGAGTACAGCCACCCCAAGCACTCTACCTACAGCTTTTAAAAAATTGACTCAAGCTTTAAAATTACATTAGAAGTGAATACTATATATAGGTCCCATTTACAGAAGAGAAAACTGAGATAGAAGAATTAATGAATTTTCCCAAATACACATATCAGAGGATGAAGTTAGAATTTTTTATTGTCGTTCAAGTACAATTGCCTCCATTTTCTCACATCATTCCCCACACCCCACCCATCCCCACCACCCACCTTTAATCTTACCCCCTTTGGCTTTGTCCATGTGTCCTTTATACATATGCCCTGATGACCATTCCTCACTTTCCCCCCATTATCCCCCTCTCACCTCTCCTCTGCTTATTGTCAGTTTGTTCTTTATTTCAATGTGTCTAGTTATAATTTGCTTGCTTGTTTCTTTTGTTGATTAGGTTCCACTTATAGGTGAGATCATATGGTATTTGACTTTCAGTTCCTGACTTATTTCACTTAGCATAATGCTCTCCAGATTCATCCATGCTGTTGCGACGGGTAGGAGTTCCTTCTTTCTTTCTGCTGCATAGTATTCCATTGTGTAAATGTACCATAGATTTTGTTTGTTTGTTTGTTTGTTTTTAATTATTGTTCAAGTACAGTTTTCTACCTTTACCCCCATCACAGTGTACCATATATTTTTGGTCCATGTATGGGCACTTAGGTTGCTCGAAACATTTGGCTATTATAAATTGTGCTGCTGTGCACACTGGGCTCCATAGGTTCTTTTGAATTGGTGTTTCAGAATTCTTACTCCACCACCAACTTACATCATACACAAAAATAAACTCAAGATAGATAAAAGACTTAATGTAAGTTGCAACATAATAAAAGTCCTAGAGGAGAACATAGGCAGGAAAATCTCAGATATTCCATGTGGCAATATTTTCACTGATATGTCCCCTAGAGCAAGGGACATAAAGGAAAGAATAAACGAATGTGGCTTCATCAAAATAAAAAGTTTCTGCATGGTTAAAGAAAACATCAGCAAAATGAAAAGGAAATCAACCATATGGGAAAACATACTTACCGATGATACCTCGAACAGAGGTTTCATCTCCAAAATATATAAAGAACTCGCATGACTCCACTCCAGGAAGACAAGCAACCCAATGAAAGAATAGGCTAAGAGCCCGAACAGACACCTCTCCAAGGAGGACATAGAGGGCCAGAGACATATGAAATGATGCTTGGCATCAGTAGCCATGAAAAAGATAAAAATTAAAACCGCAATGAGATCCCTCTTCACCACAGTCAGAATGGCCATCATAAACAAATCAACAAACAGCAAGTGCTGATGAGGTTGTGGAGAAAAAGGAACCCTAGTACACAGTTGGTGGGATTACAGACTGCTCCAGCCACTGTGGAAAACAGTATGGACTTTCCTTAGAATTTGAGTATTGCTAGTCTGCATTAATAGCCTACAGTGGTAAACTGTACATTATTTAGATTCATTATTAATGCTGGTGCAAATATTACTCATGAAAATTTCTTTTGCCAAAACTGTTCTTAGAGAAATATTTAATATTTGTGTTATTTGATAAGAAAAATTCAAATAAATGAACAAAATATTTTTAAATGACTAAAAACATAAACAATTAAAGGCAGCTGAACCAAGGACTTAATAAAGAAAATAAATTAATGAATTGGAAAAATAGAAACAATAGAAATGATAAACACATCCGAAAACAAGCCTTTTCTAAGTGGCCAGTTTAAATGAACAGAACTTTGCCAAATGTAATTTCACAAGATAACAAATCTACAAATAAAAATCAGAAACTGAAGGGATTCACACTTTATAAAGTATTATATCTTCTCAATCATGGTCCCCAACCTCTGGACAGAGGTACCTGTCAGGGCCTGTTAGAAACTTGACCACACAGCAGGAGGTGAACTTGAATGCAATGTGCTTGAGTCATCCTGAAACCATCCCATCCACTCCAGTCTGTGGAAAAATTATCTTCCACAAAACTGGTCCATGGTGCCAAAAATGTTGGGGACTGCTGCTCTAGATCATAATGGAATTGAAAGTACTCATGAAATGTGTCATTTTGTAGGAAAAATACAATTTTTCAGGAAGTACTTAAAAATAGGTAGAACAGGCAATGAACCCATATACTTGTATGTTTGAGTCTCTGTTTTTAATCTTTCAGATGTACATCTGGCTACAATTGGGATTGCAGGATTATGTGATAATTCTATGTTTAACTTTTTTGGGAATCACCAAACTATTTTCTACCACAGCTACACAATTTGACATACCCACTGGCAATATACAAGGTTTCCATTTTTTCTATGTCCTCGCCAACACTTATATTCCTTGTTTTTTATAAATTGCTATATTGCTATCCTAGAAGGTGTAAAATGGGTTTGATTTGGTTTTCTCTAATGACTACTAATGGGCAGTATTATTTCATGTGTTTATTGGCCATTTGTATACCATCTTTGGAGGATCATTTATTCAAGTGTTTTGCCCTTATTTTCGTTGAGTTTGATTTTTATTATTGAGTTTCAGGAATCCTTTATATATTCTGTATGTTGAGTCCTTCTTAGACAAGTAGGGTGCAAGTATTTTCTCCTGTTCTGTGGGTTGCTTTTCCACTCTCTGTCTGGTATCTTTGTGTTGATCAGAGCGGCAGTCATGAATACTGCCGAGGTTGAGGAATCTGGTGGCTGGTGGTTGAACCTTACAAGGTTAGGTGGGAATCTATACTTTGCAGATGTGGAATTGGTGCTTGTGTCCAATTTAACCAGTTCTCCCTTCTAAGGATAATTGAGGCATTTGACATTTAAGGTATATATAAATTTAGAAAAAAAATGTGTGAGTGTGTATATATGTGTGCAAAAGGCAACAGATGGATGTTTCTCTCTCATATCAATGTTTCTGCCCCTCTCTTTGTCCCTCCCTTTCCCTCTCTCTAAGAATAAACAAAGTCTTTTAAAGACGTCAATAAGTTAAATTAAATTGCCATCTAAATATAAAAGTGATTTGAAGTGCCTACAGAAATAATCAGGGTTTTTTTTCACCCTGGCTGATGTAGCTCAGTGGATTGAGCACTGGACTGTGAAGCAAATGGTCACTGGTTCAATTCCCAGTCAGGGCACGTGCCTGGGTTGCAGGCCACATCTCCAGTACAGGATGCATGAGAGGCAGCCATACATTGATGTTTCTCTTCCTCTGTTTCTCCCTCCTTTCTCCTCTCTCTAAAAATAAATAAATACAATTTAAAAATATATATTCAGTGTTTGCTATACCAACATGGTCCTCATCATCTTTATGTCAGTGTTATGGGATGAGATGATATATCAGTTAGGATTCAATTAAGCTGTAAAAGACAGAGGAAAAGAAACAAAACTTGGGGGAGACTTTTCCCCCAAGTCCCCCCACCCCTGTCCACCACAGATGAAAGTAAACACTACCAAGACATGATCTGCTTGAGGAGGAGAGGTGGCCAATCCCTCAAAAGGGAAAGGGCCTTGAGCCCCTTCCTCCAAGGGCTTTTATTGGGTTGTAATACACAGGAATACAGGGCAGCAAGGATCAAACAGCAGATAATATTTCATAGAAATCTGAGGGTTTAGTCTGAGTCAGAGTCTGCAAGGAAGGGAGTTTTGCAGACAGTTTAGGGTTTCCTGCTTGGACCCTTAACATATCAAGGAAAGCACTATTATCAGAGCAGGTTTCACAGGATTTTGAAGAATTCTTTGTGATGCCAGATTTTCCCCAGGAATCCCCTCTGGCAAGGCAAGGAGCTTCACCTATCTCCATCACGTATTCAGACTTAAGTGGCTTAGAGCCAGGAAGCACTTCTCCCAGAGGACTTGGAGACTGAGGCTATGTCACATAGCCAGGGGGTGGAAGAATCTATTGCTTGCTCTTTGTTGCAGCCCCCTAAGTCCTTCCATGATGGTTTCCCAAGTGATCATGTCTGGCTTAGGTTGCTCCTCATGAGGAGACTTACCCGTCATCAACATATCCATGCTTTGGGGGTAAGGAGAGGAAACTGAGGCAGCATTTGCTACCAGAGACAAGTTTTGTCTCCTCGGCTCACATTCCAGAGGTTGCTCCCTCATCCTTTGCCTTGGGAGGTAGTTACAATTCCTGAAATCAGGCAGAGCAGTCCACAACACAAAACAACAGGAACTTAAACAAGATAGTAATTTCTCTCTCAGGTTAAGAACCATGGGCAGTCTAGGCTTCATATGGAAGCTCCACAATACACAGAAACCTGGAGTTTTTCCATTTCACACTCTGTCTCACCTCCTGGTCCTAACTTGAGACAGGAAAGAGGAAGAATAGAGACACTTTTCAGACATTCAACTTACATGCTTCTAGGAAGAAAGTGGCTACATTGGTTGTTAGGGAAGCTGAGACATGAAGCTTTTACTGAAGGTGGGCATTGGCCAGTTAAAAATATAGGGTTCCATTACTAAGATGAAGGTAGATACTGGAGATACCAACAGTCTCTACTACAAATGATTACTGCCCTGATCATGTGTTTTTAGTAATCCAGAGGCAAACTTCGTAGCTATTCTAGTAACTATTTTCCTGTTACATGATATTGCATTAGACACCTTAGCTTTCATTTAATCCAGTTTAGCCCTGCTGTGCTTTAGAGCACTTGACTAGCTTTGTGGGTATCTTTTGTGACATTTCTTGCAGTAACAGTATAGGGATATCATAAATAAAAAATAAATAATGATGAAATATTCCAGAATTTGTGCCCTACTTTGAATGGTTTTATGGCTCATTGGCTGAGTACCCCTGCCTTTCATCTTTAAAGTATGAAGATCATTAACTGTTTCCTCTGGCTCTCATTCACTAAATTTTCAGGGTAAAGTTATCATTCATTACTTCAATGAACAAATGTTTTTTGAGCACCCCAAACTTAAATGTCTTTTGGCTAGGGCTAGAGATTGCACATTTTCATAAGACATATTTTCTGCCTTCAAGGAGCTCGTAACTGCCTCGACAAAGGTACACATGGCTTACATATCTTTCTGCTGTTCCTTAAAGATAAGTGTGAAAATGTACCATTATGGACAACACGATTATTGCAGTGAGTTGTTAGGGGCTAGAGATGAAGATGGATTAGAGAGGTAAGGATTGAAGTTTGTTCTTAGGGATAGAGAACTAATTTGCAACCCTGGCTGGCGTGGCTCAGTGGATTGAGCACTGGACTGTGAAGCAAAAGGTCACTGGTTCAATTTCCAGTTAGGGCACATGCCTGGGTTGCAGGCCAGGTCTCTAGTAGGTGATGCATGAGAGGCAACCACACATTGATGTTTCTCTCCCTCTCTTTCATCCTCCTTTCCCCTATCTAAAAAATAAATAAATAAAATGTTTTTAAAAATAGAGAACTAATTTGCAGATGGAGATTGGGTTTCATCCTTGAGATACCCCATGTTTTAATATGTCCGGTCATTTGTAAAATCCTCCTGGTATTATTTTCTCATGGTGACTTAAGTGGGAAATGTATGGGGAGTATAATACTTTTTCATTCTTTGTTTCTAGACATCGACTTCTTGGCTCTCCATCTGCTGCTTGTGTCCTCTCAGGCAGTAATGTCACTTGGGATAAGGAGGCACCTGTTTGCCAGAGTGAGTTGAAATATTTTTCCTGATAATTCCCTCCAGTTGATACTGATTTGACCCTGTAGTTACAAAAAAAAAACCTAATCCTTCTTGCACAGTGTAGTCTCTCAGATATTTGAAAATTGAAGTCAAGTGTTGCATGGTTTTCTTGTTTTCATTTTTAATCTTAGGAGGTAATTTATCTGAAACTGTAGGTGATTTGAACTCAGGTAAAATTGTCCTACTCTCCTACTTTAATAGTAAACTCTGTCGAAGGAAAAAGTCAATATCCTAGTGAGAATGATAGGGTGCATGTATCTTTTCAAGTTAGTGTTTTCATTTTAGGTGGCAAAATATTGAGTAGTAAAATTGCTGAATTATATAGTGGTTCTCTATTTTTAATTTTTAACAACCTTTATACTGTTTTCTATAGTGGTTGCATTGATTTACATTGCCACCAACAGAGCATAAGTGTTCTCACCAGCACTTGTTATCACTTGTCTTCTTGATGACAGCCATTCTAATAGGTAGAAGACATTGCTTTGTGGTTTTAAACTGCATTTTCCAGGAGGTTAAGGCTGTGGAGCATCTTTTCATGTGCCCTTTGGCCACTGGATGTTCTTTTTGGAGAAATATCTATTTAGGACTTCTGCCCATTTTTTAATCAAAGCATTTTGTTGTTGTTGGGTTGTATAACTTTATTATATATGTTGGATATTACCTTATCCATTCTATGGTTTGCAAAATATTTCTCTAGGTTGTTTTTTTCTGTAGATTGTCTTTTCAGTTTGTTGATTGTTTCTTCTGCTATGCAAAAGCTTTTAAGTTTAATGAGGTAACATACATTGATGTTTGCTTTGATGTTTGTACTTTTGGTGTCATATCCAATAAGTCATTTCCAGGACCAATGTTGAGAAGCTCTTTTCCTACATTTTCTTCCAGGACTGTTATAGTTTTATTCTTATATTTAAGGTTTTGATCCATTTTGAGTTAATTTTCATGAGTGGTATACAATAGGAATTCAATTTTACTGTTGTGCATACATTGCTTCAGTTCTCCCAGCAGCATTTCTTGAAGAGACTGTTCTTTCCCCATCTGTTGCTCTTGGCTACCTTGTCAAATATTAGCTTACCATACAAACAGTAATTTAACTCTGGGCTCTCTATTCTGTGACATTGATTTATGTGTCTATTTGTTTTTGTGCCAGAATCATACCATTTTTATTGCTGCTGTTGTGTAGTATAATCTGAAATCTGTAAGTGTGATACCTTCAGCTTTATCCTTTCCCCTCAGAATTGCTTTGGCTATTTAGGGTCTTTTGTGGTTCCATAAAATATTTAGGATATTTTTTCTACTTCTGTGAAGAATGCCATTGCTATCTTGATGGCAATTGCTTTGAATCTATCAGTGTCTTTGGGTAGTATAGATATTTTAATAACATTAGAGTAATTCTCCCATCCATGAACATGGTATATCTTCCCAATTTTTTTATGTCTTCTTTGATTGGGGGGGGAAAGTCTTGTTATTTTCATTATTTAGATCTTTCACTTACTTGGCTAAATTTATTCCTGAGTATTTCATTATTTTTGATGCTACTATAAATGGAATAGTTTTCTTTATATCTTTCTCAGATGTTTCATCCTGAGTGTATAAATACACCTGTGTGTAGAAATATAACTGATTTCTGGAGGTTGACTTTGTATTCTGCAAGTTTACTGAAATGATTAGTTAGTTCTAACAGTTATTTGGTTGAGCCTTTTGTATTTTCTATATACAGAATCATCACATCTTCTACAAATAATAACAGTTTTACTTCTTCCTTCCCTATTTGAATGCCTTTTATTTCTTTGTCTTGCATAATCACTCTAGCCAGGACTGCAAGTACTATATTGGATACAAGTGGTACGAGAGTTGAAATTTTAACTTGTTCCTTGTCTTAGAGACAAAAGTTTCGATTTTTCACCAAAATGTATGATATCAGCTGTGGGTTTGTCGTATGTGGTCTATATTATACTTAGGTATGTTCCTTCTATAGCCAGTATGCTGAGGGTTTTTATTATGAAAGGATGTTGCACTTTGTCAAATATTTTCTGTATTTATTAAGATGGTCATGTAATTTTTATATCTCTTTATTAATGTGAGGTATTATATTTATGATTTGCCTATGTTGAATGATCCTTGGATCACAGGATAAATTCCACTTGATCATGGTGTATAGTTATTTGTATGTGTACTTGAATTTTGTCTGCAAATATTTGCTGACAATTTTTACATCTATATTCATTGGGGTTATTGGTCTATAGTTTTCTTATGCTGCCCTTAGCTAGCTTTGGTATCAGATTACTGTAATGCTGGCCTTACAAAATGAATTTGAAGACATACCTTTCTCCTCAACTTTTTGTAAAAGATTGATGATTATTTAATTCTTCTTTGAATGTTTGATAGAATGTATCAGTGAATTCATCTTGTCCTAAGGTTTTTTTGTTGGGTGTTTTTGATTACCGAACCAATCTCTTTGCTTGTCTGTCAAGATTTTTTTATTTCTTCTTGATTGTTAGAAGGCTGTATGTTTCTAGAAATGCATTAATATCTTCTAGGTTACCTACTTTGTTAGCAAATCATTATTCATTGTAGTCCATTATGATTCTATATATTTCTATAGCTTCAGTAGTGATGTCTCCTTTTTCATTTCTAATTTTTTTTATTTGAGTCATTTTTTTTCTTAGTCTCACTAAACCTTACAAATTTTTTTAATCTTTTTTAAGAATCAGCTTTTAGCTTTGTTGATCCATTCTATTGTTTTTCTGTATTCTTTTTCATTTAATTAGATCTAGTTTTATTATTTCCTTTCTTCTGCTAACTTTGGCCATAATTTGTTCTTTCTCTAGTTCCTTGAGGTATACATTTAGGATTTTTATTTGAGATCTTTTTAATTTCTTAACTTCAATTCACTACTATAAACTTTGCTCTCAGAAATGCTTTTTCTGCATCTCATAACATTTGATATGCTGTATTTCTATTTTTCTTAATTTTGACATAGATTTTTGGTTCTCTTTTGATTTCTTCTTCAGCCCATTGGTTGCTTAAAACTGTCTTATTTGGTTTCCACATATGCATAGATCTTCTGGATTATATATTCTTGATATCTAATTTTATACCATATGGTCAGAAAAAAGTTATATAATTTTAATTTAAAATTTGCTAAGATATTTTTTGTTTCCTAACAAATGATCTACCCTAGAAAATGTTCCATCCATACTTGAGAAGAGTATGTATTCTGCTGTTGGTAAATGGAATATGTATCTGTTTAAATATACATAAGTCCATTTATTTTAGAGTATGGTTCAATTTCTGCACTTCCTTGTTAATTTTCTGTTCGGATGATCTATCTATTGCCGACAGAGGGGATGTTGAAGTCCCCTCCTATTTTTGTGTTGTTGTCTACTTCTCCCTTTTGATCTGTTAGTAGTTGCTTAATATATGTTGATACTCTTTTGTAGGGTGCATACATACTTACGATTGTTATATGTTCTTGATGTACTGACTGTTTTGTTATTACATAATGACCTTTTTTCTCTCATTATCACTTCTGGCTTGAAGTCTAATTTATCTGATATGAGTGTGGCTATGCTGGCTATCTTTTGGTTTCCACTTTCCAACTCTTCACTTTGAGCCCATGTATGTTGTTAGAGCTGAAATGACTTTTCTTTAGGCAGAATATCATCAAATCCCCTGTTTTTATTTATCCAGCCCCTGTGTGCCTTTTGTGGTGAATTTGATCCATTTCTAATAAGAGTGGTTATTGATGTGTGAGGACTTTCTATAGCCTTTTTGTCATATGCCTTTTGGTTGTTTTGCATCTCATTGTTCCTTTTTCCCTTTGTTTCTGTCTATCTTTGTAAGGTGGTATTTTTCCAGTGTGATTTGCTCAGTCTCCTTTTTTTATGTTTTGTGACTCTACTATAAATTTTTGCACTATGATTATTATGCCATTTACATAAAACTTACATAGATATAGTTCTTTTATAGCACCTTATCTTCATTTACCTGTAAGAGTTCCACCCTTTAATTCCTCCCATTTTTATTTTTGATATCATAATTTTCCTCTTTGGTGCTGTGAATTTGTTGAGAAAGTATGGTAGGTATAGCTATTTTAATGTTCTTTACTTAAGCCTTTATGCTATAATTGTTTAACACACATTTTTATCTGTGCTAAAGTATTGTGTACTTCTGTTTGTTTTTATGTTATTAATGAACATCTTTTACTTTCATCTAAAAAGACTCTTTTCAGCATTTCCTGCAAGACAAGTTTTGTGGTAATTAACTCCCTCAGTTTTTGTTTGTCAAACAAAGCCTTTCTCCTTAATACTTGAAGGCTAACTTTGCTCTGATAAAGTATTCTTGGCTGGCAATTTTTATCTTCCTGTCTTGGAGTCTGCTATTCCATGCTTTCTCGGCCTGGAGAGTTTCTGCTAAGAAATCTGCTAGTAAGCTTAAGGGTTTCCTTTGTAGGTTACCTCCTTATTTTCTCTGACTACATTTAAAATTCTTTCTTTATCATTGATTTTTGACAATTTTATTATAATGTAACTTTGAGTTCTTTTTGCCATGAGATAATAGTGTGGCCTGTTATCCTCGCGTGTGTTAAATACCTTCCCCAGGTTTAGACAGTTACCAGCTATTATTTCTCTTAATATACTCTGCTCCCTTTTCTCTCTCTTCTCCTTTTGGTAAGCCCATTTTTCTTGTATTTTTTACATCATATCTGATAACTCTCATGAGGTTTCTTTATCTTTTTAAATCTTACTTTGTTTCCTCTTCTGAGTCATTTCTAAATTTCTCTATTCCAGGTCACTAGTTCTGTCTTTGCTCTAATCTGCCTTATTTTCTAAGTTCTCTAATCTATTGTCAATTAACTCATCAAATTTTTATCTCCACATTTGGTTCTTGTTTTAAATTTCAATTTCTGTGGTAAGGAATGCTTTCTGTTCATGAATTTCATTCCTCAGTTTGTTGAATTGCCTTTGTGAATTGTCTTGTAGCTCATTGAGTCTCTGTATAACAGCTACTTTGAATTTTCTATCAGTTAGGTCAAAAGATTCCATGCTTTTGTTTTTGGTTGCTGGAGAATTATAATTTTATTTTTGACACAATATTACAATGTTTTTCAATGTTTAACAAATTGTTTCTCTGCTGTGGCATTTTGAATAGAACACTCCTTTCTCGGTTTTGATTTTGACTATTAGACTTCAACAAACTTGCAATTAGAAATCTTTTCTTTCTTTTTTGTTTTTGCTTTCCAAAAGGAGGCACTATAGTGCAAGTTTTTTGTTTCTCTTTACCTGAAGTGGTTGTTGGGCTGCAGTGGGGGAAAAAAAAACTGGTGTAGAAAAAGCTGGTGGCAGAGTAGGAAAAGGTGTGGGCTAACCACCTGAGGCTTTGTGGATACCCATGGCCAGGTAGGGAGATCTTTAAATGAAGGTCATAAAGTAGGAAATCAAATGGTTGCCAAAAAAAATTAATTATTTTTCAAATTGATTAAATTCTTAGCTATCTGGAGGGACTTTTGGACTTTTGCAAAACTGCTATTTAAGTCTCAGTTTCATTAGTTTCTTTTCAGAAAATGTTTTACTTAGTTAAGTTTGATTCACCTCAGTTATTATTTTTATAGAAAGAAATGTGTTTATAACAGTCCCAGAGTACCATTATTGTATTAACAGTTTGACTGAAACTCTAATGGCACATAATGCTCTTGTCTTCTGTCTAGAAATCTTTTGTCCAAATCCTCCGGCAATCCTTAATGGGAGCCACACAGGAACTTCTCTGAGAAACATTCCTTATGGAAAAGAAATATCTTATACATGTGACTCCCATGCTGACAGAGGGAAGACTTTCAATCTCATTGGGGAGAGCACCATCCACTGCACAAGTGATAGTCACGGGAACGGGATTTGGAGTGGCCCTGCCCCTCGCTGTGAACTTACTGGTTCTACTGGTCAGTGCACACTGCTCCCCAGTGGATCAATGTATCTGGGCAAGACCTCCATATTTCTATCATGACAGTCATTTATACATCTCAACATGACTTTGTTGTGAATATCACACACAGAAGTACCTACCAGGAAAATCACAGATGGTTTTGGAGGTCTTTCCTGTGCCAATTGGTGGTAGTCTGATGACCTTGTCTGCTGGGGTAAGGAATGTAGGATGGTGAGGAGAAAAGGGATCAGAGAGTGGAGAGAACCAGTGAGACCCAGAGTTTAAAGAGAACATTTTAAAAGCAATGAAAACTAACACCAATGAAAATATTGGGCCATGCCATCTCTATTACTACTTGCTTTTATGCTAGATAGATGGTGTGCTGACCAAAATGTACGTATCAATGGAGTAATTTACTTCAGAGCTGATAATGCTACAGAAATAATTAGAAATGTCCAAAGTAGGCATTTTAGCTTCTTTCATTACATCTAAATGTTACACTCAACCCATTACTGCATTTGTTGACCCTTCATCTCACCTTTAGTAAAGGGAACTCAGTGACCTGGAGCAAGGTAGTGGATGGTTGTGTTCTTGGCCTCTGTAGCACATTTCTTTTTCTAACTTTAAATCACAGCACCTGGCCCTCAGAAGCTCCTTTGTGCCTGTGATTGTCCACACAAGCTCCATCCTCCAGTGAGGACAGACAGCACTGAATTGGTAATTTGTAGCTCCCAGTGGTACTTGCAGCTGGTACAATCTGCACATAGAGAAAGCACATGATTCTGTGTAAAGGCTGAGAGGTCTGGGTTAGCAGAATTAGTCTTCCCACTGATTCACAGACATGTAGAGCCTTTCGACCTGCCTGCCTGGGTCTTCATGTGGCTCTAATAGTCACATATATTATTAAACATGCTGACATGCTCATACTTTTATGTTTAACTGAATCTTTTCTTGCTCTTAGTATGCCCACCCCCACCCAGGATGCACAATGGGCATTATGCTGGAGGGGATGCATCTCCATATCTTCCTGGGATGAGTGTCAACTACGTTTGTGACCCAGGCTACCTGTTGGTGGGAAAAGCCTACATTTTCTGTACACATGAGGGAACCTGGAGCCAATCTGACCATTATTGTAAAGGTATCTCTTATTCTTAATGGGATTTTATGTAACATTGACGTATGAAACAAGTAAGGCTGAGAAGATGGTGAAATGAGTATCAGTAAAAAAAAAAAAAGAAAAGTAGAACAAACAGTGGGAAGGATGGTTTCCCAAGGATCCTCAACTCTACCAAATAAGTAGGAAGAACCAATGGAGTTTTTAGTAATATAATGACATCAAACACTAATTTAAAATGCTTTACAAGCTTTTACCTAATAAAATATTTCAGCTCTAAAGAATCTCAGAGGATCACAGGTGGTCCTCACAAATGCCCTCAGAAGGTCAATAAGAGACTAGAAGCACTTCGCTGTGAGGACAATACAAGTGAGGCCAAGAGCAATTCGTTCTGCTGTTACTGCCTATGGAGTCTCACTACTGTAAAATGCAGGACCAATAAGATGGCAATGGTTTGGTCAAGATAGCATAAAGCATATAAAACAAAATGGAATCACTCATGTCAACCAAGATGGCACCAGTCAGCTGAGATACTTTGGTTCAAAAGGGAATCTACCTAAGTCATACTTAATACATTTACCAAGGAGACCCACCCAAGATATCTGCACACATGATAAGAACAGTCATATCTGCAGAATGGGGCCATCCATATACAGGCTCCTGAAGAAATTCCCCACTTGCCATCATGCATGCCAAGACACTTATCAAGAGAACCAGAAGGGTGGAATATACCACTCTCAGGTATAAGTGAGGCAGGCTCCAGACCACTGCTAAGACAGCTGAACTCCACACACCAAAGTGCTGCTCCATGCCACACTGATCTCCCTTGCATCAGCCACCAGAGGCTCTGCCCTGCTGGTCTGAGGAGTTCTTCTGCCTTGCTGCCCACCTGGCTGCAGAGATTCTTCTTTGCAAAATGCTGAAGTCTCCCTTACCCACTGTGCTATCTCCCAGACCTGCAGACAGACTCTGGGACTTTGGATCATTATTCCAAATCAATTGCTGTGTGTGTGTGTGTGTGTGTGTGTGTGTGTGTGTGTGTGTGTGTGTTACATTCCTCTTAGATTGTTAGGGTGTGAGTGAGATATTAATGTATGTTGATGTTCTACTTTGAGTGAATCTGCATTCAATAAAAGCTAAGTGAATAGCATAGTTACCTTGCGTGACTCTTGTCTTACTTTGCCAGGCTACACAGCCAACAGCTAGCTGAGTAGTTGCCTGTCTTACTTTTAAGAAAGATTATATTGCCAAAATACACTTGCAACAACTCTAATCTTCAATACGAAATGTAAGGTGTTTATTTACTTTTACAACAAGTCTCTGAAACAAGTCCCAGGAATTATTTCCATTATTTCTGCCTGTGTTTGCAAAATAACATATGACTTTAAAATCTTTGTTGGCAATATTCTAAAAAGCTGCAAAATGTGAAATTAAAAATCATATGATAATGAGATCTTTACAAAAGTGAGTTGTGTTAGTCTCCAGAAGAATCTGATGGGGTGGGATTAGTATTCTTGCTATCTCACTGAGGAGGGACTTGAGGTGAAGTGAGATCCAGGCTTGATCAAGTCTTGATCCAATCTTGATCCACAGCTCAGGAGCGGTGGTGCTAGGATTGGACCCCAACTCAGCCCCCACTTTCAAACACTGCACTCTATACTGTCTCCTTTGAAATGTGGCTCTTTTCACTTTGCAGCATGTTAAGTGATTTTTGCTTTTCCTGTTTCTTTTCTATTCTTTTCATTTTCAAAATACTATGTAAGGGCAGAGATGAGATATTTCTAATACTAAGGACTAGTTAGTCTTGAGGCTGCTGTGGTTACAAGAAATTTATGCTCTCTGACCCCAGCCTAAAAGTCTCAGAAACCCTTTTGGGCATCCTGCCCCTCAGTTTGAGAGACAGGGAAGGAGAAGCCCACCAAAATGATAGTGAGTGACTCTGTTCTGGTTATTTGCCAGAATGGGTGGCACTTGCAAAGCTCCTGTAGCTTTACTGAAACCAAAATCTCACCTTTCCTTGCCTTAGTTACATAAGAAATATGAAGATTCAGGTAATAGTTTAATGATTTATTATTTAGATTAAGACTATGGTATAATCATTCTGAAAATAAATAAGTTATATATATATATATTTCTGGAAGCTGCTTTCTTTTCATTCAAGTAAATTTTGTTTTAATAGCTGTTCTCTCAGAACATGGCTTATTCATTCTCCATTTTTTAGCATTAGCAAAACCAACCAGGAACCTTGTTTAAAAGACAGTTTTTTGACCTGCATCCCAAAGAACTCTGATTCTGACATTTTGAGTTGGGGTCCAGAGGTCTATTTTTAGTAAACCCACTATAATATTCTGATGTATAAAAACCACAGACAATACTGTGGGAAAGAGTACTTTACCTGGCTGGGCTTTATAAAGAAAAAAATCAGACCTTACAACTGAAAAGCAGATTTTGCTTAAATTGAAGAAAATGTTAGCTAGTCTGAGAAAGAAAGCAAAGTAAAGGTTGAACTAAATGAGATAAAGTAAATTAAGTAGAAAATTGGTACTTTACATTCAGAATCATGTTATTCTAACCTCTTTATTCTGTGTATAGAAATGATCCAGAAATGGGCATTTAGTCAAGAGGCAAAAAAGCAGTAGTAGTTGTTGTTGTATTCCTAGGGAGAGCTAATATGATATTCCTGTTTCCATATGGTCTGAGCCAAGTGGATCCAGGCTAGAATATGGTTAGCCTAACTCCTAATCTCTCCACAACTTCCCAGTTGCAGAGTTGCTCATAATGAAAAGTGACTTACAACACATTCCACATTCAATTATTTTACCTAAGAAAACAAAGTCAGAGCACTTTAAACCATGGCATATTGGGGGAGAGAATGTAGTTTTTCTTGATGGAAAACATAAGTGATCTTTGCTGAAGGGAAAACAGGTTTGAGGTTATAGAGCTTTTCATTATGGCAGTTACTACTAACAGTTATCAATAAAATATCAATTTCCTTCTGATTTTTCTAGTTTCAGAGGTAAAATGTAGCCTCCCACAGTTTATGAATGGAATCCAGAAGGGGTTGGAAATGAGCAAAGAATTTAAATACAGAGAAAATGTAACCTTGGAGTGTGAAGATGGGTATACTCTGGAAGGCAGTCCCTGGAGCCAGTGCCAGGCGAATAACACCTGGGACCCTCCTCTGGCCACATGTACATTTCGTGAGTACAAAAGCAATTGCAAGGACTGTAAGTCCTTCTCAGCCATGGTACTGTTCATCCATTTATTCATACTGTCATTGAATGTGGTGTGATGTTTATGGCATGTGGTAGAACTCAGTGCACTAGAGAAGCCCCCAATTCTTCTCGAAAAACCCTTAGCAATGAATAGTCAGGCAAGCCTTGCTCTCCTCACACTTCTCAACCTATTCATCTCTCCTGGGGGAAACCTCTGAGCCTTTTATTTACATCGCTTTATTGTTGCATGCATCTCACGGCAATGATTTGTTTATAGCCCAGGGACCTGAAAAGTCAGAAGCACATCAGTAATAGAGCCAGTCTTCAAGAATATTTTCAGAAATCTTTTAAAAAAAAAGTCAGGAAGCACCTTCCAAGTTGCTGAGACTAGCTGTTTCAGCTCCCTCACTGGTGTGTAGGCTACAAGATTGTAAACTGGCATAGCTGCACTCAGCAGATTTAGAAATCATGTATTTTGAGCTCTGGAGAAGAATAGCCCTCTGCTGGCAACTAGAGGGTAATGTAAGATAAAGAATCCTAAACCTTGAACTTGTACACATCAAAATGCTGATGAACAAAATTAACAATGAATAACTTATCTTAATCTAAGTTACTGCTAGGCTTCTTCCATCCATTCTTATGATTCTTATTTGTAATAGTGAGCACCAAGATTCTTCAAGATGTGTTTAATAGTTAAACCTTCAAATATGCTAGCTAATCTAATTTACAAATAATATTCCCAATTATAAACTTATAACTCTCTTAATATCAAATTGCATCCAGTTTAGCAAAAAGCTCCCTGCCTACCTGACTGAATGAATACCTTTAGAGGATTCTGAAGATGTAGATGTGAAAGACAAAAAATTCACATGATTGTGGGACCACCCTACCAGATATTAAAAGAAAATATAAAGCCACAGTATACGAATCACCTAAAACCAGTATAAATAGATATATGTGAAACAAAAATAGATATTAAGTGAATTATACTTATTTTATAAGTGAAACTAGATTGACATTAATAAAATAAGGGTTATTATAAATAACAGTAAAAGTATCTTATGAATGAAATATAATAGTTGAGATATCATCAATCCACAGGGAAGGTAAACATGATCAAATAATATAGGTAGCACTGAAAGAACCTGAGAAACTTTCTTATATCTTACAAAAAGTAACAGATGTAATAAGGAGTTAAAGTTTTACAAGTCAACATGGAAAAGCTAACATAAAAATTAAAGAATACTTACCAAACTACTAGAAGAAAGCCAACTTTTTGAACTTTTTGATATGATAGGGAAAATGATAAAAGGTCAACAAATTTAACTTACAGCTTATATATGTATTTTGGACAGTAAATGAGAAAGCAGAAGAGAGATGAGAAATATGTAAAATTTAACAAAGAGTTAATAGTGTTATCATACAAGTAGCAGTAGTGGTAGTTGTGGTGGTATTGATGGTTGTAAAAATTAACAACTATTGAGTGCTTGCTTAATTCCACTGTTTGGAGGTTAGATTAAGAGATTCTACAAATATGTAAAAGTATAGATGCCTGGGAGCATGTCTCAGGAGGGATGGTACCAACACATTTAGTGGTAGTAGCATTATGTAACATCTTTCTTTTGCTCTATTTTATACATTTTAGCTGTAGTTCTATTAATTTGATGTTAGAATTATTAAGTTGAAAAGAAAAAAAACACAGATCCTGAGTACACAAGATAAATGAGACTGAGTAAATCCAGAGGTTTTTTTAATATATTAGAACAAAATGAGACTGTGTAATGACAAAAATTAAGATAAACTGTCACTGGCTGAGAGCTCCTGTAGAGTGTGAGACTGATGCATTTGTGACCTTTGTCTTCTTTTTAGGCTCACGTAACACTCTCATTATTGGTAAGTTTTATAAAGAGTTTGCTGAGAAACTCTAGCCTCTCTAACAGTAAGTATATTAAGTACCCACTTATAATGAATGAAATGTAAAAGAAGAGATGAAAATATCTTACATCGCAATTTCATTTAGAAAGGAAATAGTGATAAACTCGGGTCATGTGTGACAGAACTGGCATCCTCACATGCATATAGAGTGAGTATCTCCACTAAAACTTCTGTACTATCTTTGAACCATTACAAATGACCAGTCATCCATATCATTTTATTGTAGATGGAGAATACAACCTGGGGATATTCTTTAGGATGATAGTCGTGCCCACTTGCACAAATTGGAAGCCACAAGACCAATTTTCTAAGCCCATTTCTGTAATCTGTGTATGTAAGAGGAACAGCCACGATAGCTTGCTTCAGAGGGAGTTGGTAGAATCTGGTTTATAATAGCTCTTGCCTCAGTCCTTACACAATTGACATGTGCAGGGGCCCTGGAGAGCTGGATACCAGGAGCACCAGTACTGTTCTCGTATACTTGTTGAAAGGCTGCTGTTGGATTAAAGGTTACAAAACTGCTCTGCTCACTCCTTACCTATAATCCTGTGGTTGTAACACTAATGTCCTTGATTAAACAAGAGCAGAAGGGGAATCTTAAAGGTAAGCCTGTGTCAGTGTTTGTTAAACCAGAATTTAGTTGCATTTTTTAAAAAATCATTGGCAACCTCTAGAGAGACTATATATTAAGATAGAGTTTAAAATCCATAGAGTATACTCTAAATCCATAGAGTATACTCTATGGATTATATTTTCCATGCATTTAATTGCCATGTTTTACTGCCTAGGCACATCCTTTGGTGTGATCTTTATTGTACTCATCATTGTTTCCTGCTGGATGATTCTAAGACACAAAAAAGGGTCAGTACAGCCATATTCTCTTAGAAAATGTTTATTACTATACTTGCCTCTTCTTGGAAGCCAAAGAGAAGTAAATTAAAACCTCAGATAAAAGCAGTACATAAACAGATTAGTAATTCTTATAAAGAAAGCCTTTAAAGCACATTATGCAAGAGAAGTATTCACGCTAATATATACCATATTAAGAACACTTCTTTTACAAGTTAGAATTGTAAGAAGGACTTGAGTTTCATGTAAGAGAAAATGGTAGAAGGAATTTGCCCAAAGATGTTAATTTTCCCACTTTGCTGAGACATTCGCGAGACTCCTGCCTCTGCGTACAGACCCTATCAGGGAGCTAATGGTCAGAGAGTGTGCCCCACTGGTATACATATCTCAGCCTGCCAGTTTGGAAGGATTGAGGTATTTCATCGGTTATTTAAAAAATAATATTTTATTAAGACCAAATGTTTACCTTTTAGCCCTGGCTGGTGTGGCTCAGTTGGTTGGGCATCATTCCCCAAAGTGAAAGGTCACCAGTTCAATTCCCAATCAGGCCACATGCCTGGGTTTTGAGTTCAATTCCCGGTTAGGGGCATACGAAACACAACCAATAGATGTTTCTCTCTTGCATCAATGTTTCTCTCCCTCTCTCTCTGCCTTCCTTCTCTCTAAAACTAAATAAACTCTTTTTTAAAAACCATTTACCTCTAAATTTATGAATACCTTGAAGGATTAAGGTCTGAATAAAGAAATATTCTTAACTGGGAAGAGAAGATACACAGTTTTTGTATTAATTCATTTAACAATAATAAAATCAGTGAGATCAAAATCAGAGAAATCAATGTTATAAGCTTAACAAATTCTATACCAATGAAAAACAGCTTATAAATTTAGCGGAACAGTTTTCTGCACAAATGTAGTCTCCTAAAAAGCATTATAAAAACTGAAGGTCTAACATTTCACAAAACATACCAATGTAAATTTTTAAAAGTAAAGTGCCACAGCTGAACTTTTTTTTGCAAATAATCTAGTCACTTCCTTCCTCCCCCTTCTTTGAATTTCCCACCTCTGTTAATTTATTTCGTATGTTTTTGGTCCCCACCACACTCCTCACCATCTCCCTTCCCTGATGATGTTCTCCCTGTGAGCAGGGACCAGGTGGTCTCTATTATCCTAGTTGCATTTTTTAAAAAATCAACAGATAATTTTATTTAATAATTTCCAACGTCTACTTGTGCAGTAGATAACATTAGTCATGTGAATAGCAACAGCTAACATAGCTTTATCATTTATTGTCTTCTTTTGTATGCAAAGCATCTCGAAGAGGTAGGTAAGTACAATAATGTTGTTCCAAAGCACAGAAGATAGATTCAGAGAAATTCAGTGACTTGCTTAATATCATACCAGTAGGAAGTTGTTAAGAGTTAAGTGTTTATTTCCAGTTATCTGACTCAAAATCCTGAACCCATTCAGCTGCTCCACTGATAATTTTAGTTATTCATTTCTTAATCTATATTACAGAAAATTCAGAATTCAGAACTATATATACTATAAAGCTGTAATATTTCTTTTTATTCCTTTCTTACATACCTCCCATTCCCACCTCTCTGTAATTGGGCTTGTTTTATCTATTTGGGTATATTGAGCCAATATCCTTCTGTAGAACAGTATGCAATCTCTCATAACCACCATGAACCAACTAGATTGCCATTCATTCAACATTACTTGAAACCTGGAAAGCAACCCACAGGTCTGGCTATCCACTACCAAGAAAGTCAAACTCATGAAGCTGATTCTAGTTGAGAAGGAAAGGGGTTTATTCAGTAGTCTACAATCTGAGAAGATGGCAGGCTCATGCCTCCAAAACCATCTTAGCATCTCAGGCATCCTGGCTAGGTCATTCAGGGGAACCATCAGAAGAGGGAGATAAGGAATTTCTGGCAACATGGAGTTTCTCAGCTCTGCTCTCTCGTGCTTTCAATGTTATCTCCTATGTGTGTCATCATGTTGTTGTATTGCTTTATCTACAGTTTTACTGCAGATGTTCAGGAGCAGGATGTTCAGGCAAAGTTTCCGCTGGTTCTGATATGAATTGCTGATGCTTGTCCAGTTCTTGTGGTCAGGGACATTTCTAGGTCAGGAAGGAACTGCAACTGCTGATGTCTACAAAAGACTCGTAAGGAAAAATTTTAATACATGATTTTTCTATGAGTCTGTTAGTACAGCCTATTTTATAATTACTACTTAATTAGTATGGTGTTTTTCAATCACTGCTGTAATTCCCCACTGTTACATACTCATTAAGGTTGTATTCTCTCACACCCCATATATAACTCATCATCCAAGACAACTTTCAGGCCATTACTTACCTCACCACATAATCACTGCTCCTTGGAAGCCCATATCACCTGAATGTACAACCCTCTCCTTCCTCATACTGGATCTGAAGTTTGCCTTTCCTCATCCTGTGAAAACTTTGGCTCCTGACTCAGTTTTCTTTTCTGTCTCAAATGAGGTCCTCATCTATTTTACAGGAGAGGGTAAAGAGTAAATAATGAGGAAGTAGTAGAAAGTAGTAACATACATCTCCTCTTTGTGCTTCCAGTCTTAAATCCCTAATAGTAATGCATGCTTGAAATATAGGTACTGGTATTACTTATCATTTATCTGAAAAGAACTGCTCATTAAATAACCCTGAAAGAGGGAGCATACTATATCATGTCAGACCGTGGGCTTTGCATCAGTAAGACCTGTGTTCACACTCACTTACTAGCTTTAAAACCCTGGAAAAAATGCTTCATCTCTCTAATCTGTATTATCCTTGCCTGAAAGGTAGAGGTAATAGTAGTTCCTACTTCAACTTAACAGAATGCATTGCTTATGATGAATGTCAGAAAATGTTAGCTATTGTTATTTATACATGACTTATAATTAAGATTTAAGTGATTACATATTTCTTTCACTGTCAGTTCTCATATATTTTCATGACAATAACTGCTACTTCCTATATAATAGGTCTTCTATAAAATACAGAATATGTATATTCATTACAGGGAAAAAGGAAGCCTTATGTTAGATTGCAGTGCAAAGCCATTTACGTTATGAAGCTTGATGTTACAGTCTTGTTGAACAGTATTTACTAATTAATATAACTTTGAGAATAGGGAAATGTGTTGTTTTACAGCATGAGCATTTGTCTAGAAGCAGTTTAGGGTTCTGACACAACATATAGGATGGTTTTAGTATTAATTCCTAATCTAAGGTTTTACTTAGTCTTGAAAAGTATGACTTGGCTACATTTTTCTTTTTAGATACCTTATAAAGATATTCAAAACCTGAGGCAAATTGTGTTCTAATTGTGCAGAAATTTCATAAAAAAGGAGCCACCGACTAACTTCTTTCAAAACTAAAATGTATGTAATTAAATTACTTTCCCATCTTTTTCTCTCCTGCCAATTAGCTGTAATAAAGATGAAGAACCTAAAGAAGTGAATATCCATTTACAACCCCAAGAAGGCAGCTGTGATCATGCACAAAGTGTGCAAACAAATCAGGAACATAGCAGGTACCTAACATTCAAATTAAATCCAAATGTTTTCAAGAACTCAAATATGGAAGATGAAAACAGGATTTAAATCTAATGTTGCACCAGGTAGGTCACTGATATCAAAGACATTCGGAAGTATCCAGGAGCTGGAAATGCCATTGTTGTTGCTTTCTTTGGATAACTGTTGTCTCTGTGATCTTTCTGAGGGGTGAGGACTCTGTCAGTGCTGTGCACAGGCACTGCTTTTCAAAGTGTTCCTGTAGTTTTGCACATTTATGCCATGAACCTTTGAGATGTAGAAATCTCTACTTTTCCTTGTGGAACACAAAGTGTTTGCCACTTGGGTGTGCCTCAAACTCCCCCAGCTTCCAATAAGTGTGTGGGATCTTCGTGGAGACTTTCTCTTCACCTCTTCCCTTGCTTTCCCACTTTCACTGACTTCTGTCCCTCACCTGATCTCCTAGGACGGCTCTCTCCTATCTGTCCTCCTCCTCTTGAGCTTGTTTACCATGTCTTATCCCTTCATTCCACTTACTCAAGTAGCCCTGCTCCACACTGTTGCGTAGTAAATGCCCAGCTGATTGCTAAAGGTGTGTTGGGAAATGACACTACAACCTGAAGTGGCACACAACATAGAAGTGAACATCAGAAATTACTGAACAAAAAAGTAACTGTTTTGTAAATAAAGTTTTACTGCAACACAGCTATCCAGTCATTTTCCTATTGTCTGTGGCTTTTCCACACTATAACAGATTTGGAAACAGTAGTCCCCCCTTTACCTATGGGGGATACATTCTGAGATCTGCAGTGCATTCCTAATACTGTGGATAGTACTGAACCCTATATCTACTATGTTTTTTCCATCTAAACTATGCAGTTGTCACAGACTGTGGTCATGACTTTTGCAGTTTGAGGTGTGACAGCAAAACTAATACAAATTTTCTTTTCCCTCTTCATAATTCACTGGTAGAATATGTGTCCTTACTTAGATCTTAGCACCTTCAGAATATTTTTTTCTTTTCTGAAGTTGCAAACTTTCACTTTTTACTTAAAAGAAGCACTTCAGAGCTTCTCTTTGGTATGTCAAATTGCCAGCATCACTACCCTTGCACTTTAGAGCCATTAGCAAGTAAAATAAGGGTGACTTGAACACAGGGTGGGCTATGTTCAAGGGTGAGCCATTAGCGAGTGAATAATGGTGACTAGCAAGGGTGGACTATAATACCATGACAGTCCATCTAATAACTGACATGCTGCTTTATGACTAGTAGGCCGGGAGCATATACTGTGGATGCACTAGGCAAAGAAAGGATTCAGGTTCCAGGTGGGATCACACGAGATTTAATTATGCTACTCAGAATGGCATGAAATCTAAAACTTATGAATTGTTTATTTCTGGCTTTCCATTTAATATGCTCAGATCAGGATTGACCATGGGTGGCTGAAATCATGGAAAGTGAAACTATGTATAAGGCGAGACTACTGTACATGGCACAGGTTCCCAGAGACTGTGTGGCCCACAAGGCCAACATATTTACTATCTGGAACCTAAGAGGAAAAGTTTATCAAAGCCTGAACTATTTCACACATTGATTATTTTCTCACTGGCTAGGTACTCTTTAAACCTTAGCTTTTTACCCTGTTTCCAAGCCTCTTTTGCATTCATCTGTTTTGTTCAGATTTTTAATGCACTCTGAGTACCTCATTATGACTCTTGGCTTCTTGTAAATCCAAAACTCCACTTTTCTTCAGCACACAGAGCAATTCATCCAGGACTTATTTACTCTGGCCATGCCTAGAAGTCCTAACATTTCCTATCCATAAGTTCCCCAGGGCAATTTCAGAAACAAGCAAAAGCTCTAGAAAGGGATCTGGCCACTTCTGTGGAAAACAGAAGCAAAACACCACATATTTAAGTACATTTTTTGGCCCACCTCTTTCCCATAGCAATGTGCATTAGCGTAAACCTTGCGTTTTGTATCTAAACCTATGTCAGAAATCCTAAATTCTACAGAGGACAGTGAAAGCGGCCACCAGGAAAGGTAAGGGGATGGGAGAGACATTTATAGTTAATCAAGAAACAGGCAATTCAACTTTTTCTAAACCAAAATGTACAGGGTATGGTCAATTTCCTTCTAAAGAGAAATGAATATGCAAAGTCCTTGGTTTATTATCTGGTTTCTGCTCACTTCATTTCTGTTAAATAGATTGTTTTCATGACTGGTCATGGAAGTAAATGAAATGCACATTGTTATTTAATAATTCAGATTGGGCCATTTAGTTTTTGAAGCTTTAATAATCCTTTTCAAATGGGCATTTATATATGCCTGGGGAATGTGTGGCTCCTATACCACGGGGATAAAAAGGCTGTGAGTGAAAATGGCTTGTCTTCCAAGAGAATATTTTTTTCTGAGATTATTCATATAGTTCGAAGGGAAAGTAGTAGTATTTTTATATTAACACAAATACATTATAAGGGAGCATAAGACAGAGAATATTGTACTTTAAGTTAGCCTCTAAGGCTCTAGGGTGATTTGTTTTTCTCTATTATTGGGGTACTTTGACAGAAAAGTTATGCAAAATGGACTTATAGCAGCCATGCTGCCACCAAATATAAAAAGACTAAATAGCAGCTGATTGTGAGGGTGATGGTTATCTTTGTTATAGTTCATTAAAAAATATTCCAAAGTATTTTGGAATATTGCTTAAAATTCCATATGATTTTGCCTCATTCCTGCCAGGTTACTTACCTAAAGCACATTTCCACCATTTTTACAATCTAAGTTGCATTAGCCCAGCTCAGAATTCACCCACCCAAGAAACTCTGCCAAATAACTCCAGTCTAAAGAAATGTCTCTCTTTGGAAGTCACGGCACTTCTTGCCTATTCCAACTTTTAAAATAAATTATTTTCTTGCAAGGATAATTTGTGCTTATTTTTGAAAACATAGAAATACTGAGAAATATAAAAATTACTTGTAATACCCTCCACCCAATGGTTAGTATTGTTAAGCTACTTTCCATGTTATTTTACATTTGCATGGTTATACTTTGAGATTATATTGATATGATGTTGAAGGACTTTGGTTTCCTCAAGTGACAATCATTCTTCCCATTGTTAAAAACTGTATATAAATATATCCTACAGCATTCAATATTCCAATCATTGTTTTGTACCTCTTAACTCTACTGCCTTCATTCACATGCTCATTTTTAATTCTATAAACATTGATTATTTACTTATAGGGTACCCTACATTGTGCTTATACATTTTCTCTCCCATGCTAAATTAACTTACAAGTAAGAACCATATTTTTAAATTTCCCAAAATTACTGAGTATAGACATGACCAAATGAAAAGTGTTTGATAAATATTTGAGAATGAATTTACCTAAATTTTATTTGTCCTCAACTTTATGGGTTTTGTTTTGTTTATTGTTATTCAAGTACAGTTTTCTGCCTTTTCCCCCCACCCCTCCCCACCATCCCAGCCCTCCCCACCTCTCTCCCATTTTTCCACACCCCCCTTGTTATTGTCCATGTGTCCTTTATAATTGTTCCTGCAAAACCTTCACCCTTTTCCCCTGTAATCCCTTCCCCTATCCCCTCTAGTCACTGTTAGCCTGTTCTGAATTTCAGTGTCTTTGACTATATTTTGCTTGCTTATTCATTTTGTTGATTAGGTTTCTGTTAAAAGTGAGATCATATGGCCTCGCTTTTGTCTTTCACAGCCTGTCTGATTTCACTCTGCATAATGCTTTTCAGTTCCATCCATGCTGTTGCAAAGGGCAGGAGCTCATTCTTTCTTGGAAGCATTCTTCTACATCAAGGTGCATCTCAAATTGTGTTCATTGACTGTTGGCCACCTTTTAATAAAAGGATAGGAATGCCTTAATGAATTTATCTCAAATTTTCATTTAAAGATTAACATTCTGACCACAGGTGTTCTACAGGAGGAAAGTTAATCATTTGTGTCAACATCTCACAGAGATGGAATGAATTAGAGTCTGTACCAAGCTGTAAATCTGTGCTCATGGGCCTGGTACAAGGTCACAGAGGGTGATAAAAGTACAGAGGCAGACTTGAAAGACATGGCCACGTGTTGATACATATGAAAATGCTCAATATTAATGCAGGTGACTTATGATGTTGGGAACACCTGTGAGCTACAGAGAACAATGATGCAGGGTCAGGTGACAGAAATTACTGGGGTTTTCAGGTGAGTTGATGGGCTTTATCGGGGGTCTGTCCATTTCTGACAAGACTGTATTCCTGGCCTTAAGAAAGAAGAGAGGCTTCAGCATGGCCAAGGAAGCATTCAAATGACTCTGAGGCTATACAATAAATACCTCCTTTCTATCTTGACTGTGATAAGGGGAAGAAGACATACTTTCTGAAGGCAACCCCTGTTTCCAAGCCTACCGGATCCGGTATACATTCCCCTGCCACAACCATGGTTTAGAAAGGAGACTCAAGGAAAGATTTTGAGGGATCTATACATCCCTCAAGAGGGATAGGATCTATACATCTTCTGAAAATAGACTCTTTTTGTTTAGCTGCTCAACTTCGAGAACACTTTATCTTTGACAGAAGAAGAAATGCAGAATGGTCAAGTTATTCACTTATCTCTCTCATACCTACTCAGTATCTCAATTTATGGCATACTGTTTTATGCCCTCTACAGCAACCACAACAGTGAGCAATACACACTTCTTTTAAACTTGTAACATCTGTGTAATGCCAACATCATGATTATGAGCATATAAATTTGGGGAAGTTCAGTTGTTGACCATGCTGTCATCTAAATAAAAATTCCTGTTATTTCAGTGTCATTCCTGGACAAAGTACTAAAAAGCTGGAGAACTCCTCAAATTAAAATCATCATTGGAAAAGAGCCAATTCATTTCAACAGAATTAGACCTGGCATTCATAAAACCATTGAAGTGACTTCACAGAGATGCAGACATGTGCACTTGAAGATGCTGAAGCTCTCCCGATATCTCAGGAAGCTCCATCCTCTTAGTTTGGACACTGTCACTCCTCCATCTTCCTTCTTTGTGCTGAAAGCACACAGCGTCTGGTCGGTGGAAACACTGCACTTAGAATATATAAGTAGTGTCAATTACTCAAAAGAAGAAGGTGTAGCCTAGAATTTCTGTTTATAAGTTTGTCATTTGTCTTTCTTATGTTTAATTTTTTATGTAGATGACTCTTGAACAATGTGGGGGGTAAGTAGTGCCACCTAAATAAAAATGCTGTTTCCGATCTGTGGTTTGCTAAATCCTGGATGCAAAATCCCAGGATATGGAGGGCCACCTATGTGGTTAGTGAAAAATATCCACATATAAGTGGGCCCATGCAGTTCAAACTCCTGCTGTTCAACTGTTAACTATAATATGGAATGGACTCATTAAGGAGAATTTAGAAAATGCAGGAGGAAGATATTAAAAAAACAAATGTCACCTATAACTATACTACCCAATGATAACCACAATTAATGTTTTAATTCACATTCTTTCTTTATATATGTTTCTTTATATACACACATATCTATGTCTCTTAAATACCTTTTTTTGTTTATAGAGCAGAATCTACTCTTTTTTAGATTCATGTAAATGTATGCTATAGCAGTTTTCACTTTCTCAAAGAAAAATAAGTAATTTCCATTTATTAAAAAGGCATTAAATGACTATAGGAAAGGTGGGTCAAGAATATTCAAGAGAAATATCTGGAAAAAATAAGTTTTGTGTATTTTCTAAGGTCTATTTCAAAAGACTTTGTACTATGTTCTGTTTTAAAAACATACTAAAACTTAAATAAAATCATAATTTATATATAGAAGTATCTTATTTTTAATGAATTCAGAATAAACTAAATTTACTAAGAAACATGACTTTAAAGAATTTATCAGGTTAGTAGACATGTATCAACGCATTCTTAATAAGTAGCCCCAGAGTCTTTAAAAAATCCACATCCTTATAGATCAAAAATTCATTTGGTATGATATTATGGGCCATGCTGATGACATCTAGAAAATATTAGTCTTTCTGGATTTTAAGAATAGATTTGTGTGTGACTACTGCCAACTTCTGTGTGATTCTGGCTTCAGTAGTTGTTTTTAAAGCATATTCTGCCACATTTACACTAATAAATATAAACAGTGAATTGGACATAATCTAAGAAGGTCAAATTAAAATCATGTAAGAGAGACAAAAAAAAGCATAACCAACAAGTCAGCTGACAAAGTGAGAGAAAAAAATGCAACATATCACAGATGAATGGTCATGGGATTAACTGAGAGTTAATAATTCAAAGACCAACCCTCCCCTTCTTCTCCCAAAGTGGGCAAAAGATATTTCTACAAGTCAAAGAAAAAAGACAGAAAGAAAGAAAAGAAAGATAGGAAAGAAAGGGGGAAAAGAGGAGGAATGAAGAAAAAAAGAAAAGAAAGGAAGAGAAAGAAAAGAAAGGAGGAAAAGAAAGAAAGAAGAAAGAGAGAAAGAAAGAAAGAAAGAAAGAAAGAAAGAAAGAAAGAAAGAAAGAAAGAAAGAAAGAAAGAAAGAAAGAAAGAAAGAAAAAGAGAGGAAAGAAAGAAAGAAGGAAAAAGAGAGAGGAAAGAAAAGGAAGGGAATAAAGAAAGAGTAGTCCATGAAAATGTAAAAAGAAAATCAGATGGTTTGTGTAGTTGGAACTTGAACAGATCTCTATTATTTCTCAGGTTTTAATAGTAGTATCTTTAAAAGGAGGACTAGAAATTAACTGAGAATGAGCCTTGCTTAGAATTAAAAATCCCCTTCTCAACAGCATGGATGGAACTGGAAAGCATTATGCTGAGTGAAATAAGCCAGGTGTTGAAAGACAAATACCATATGATCTCACTTTAACAGGAAGCTAAACAACAAAACAAACAAGCAAGCAAAATGAAAACAAAGACACTGAAATAGGGAATAGGGGGACAGTGACCAGAGGGGAGGGAATTTCAATGGAAAAAGGGAAGGATTTACAGGAACTAGTATAAAGGACACATGGACAACAACTAAGAGGGGTAGAAATGAGAGGGAGGTAGGGAGCACTGGGGACATGGGCTGGGATGGGAGTAAAAGACAGAAAACTGTACTTGAACAATAATTAAATTTTAAAAAATCCCCTTGTAAGAAAAAATTCTAAATTATTTTGTTTACCCCAGAATGGAGTAGGTTGGTGAGCAATGTGATTAGCCAATATTTGATACCTGTGCTTCTTAATTGCTAGAAATTTGTGAGATTTTTTTAAACATCACTTGTCTGTGGGAACTACCATACATACTAACAATATGTAAATACCGTATTGTCTAACCCAATTATATTATTTGAGCAATTCTGTTAACCTCTGGCCACACATTTTTCACCTGCAAAGCAGCAACTGAAACAGTTACTCTCCAAAGCTATTTCTAATGTTAATCTAATGTTCTTTTTGCCTTTTTGTATACTTACTTAGATGTGAGATGTAATTTAGTTTAAGACCAAAATACTTAAATGAAATTTTCTGTCTCCACTATTATAATAAGAAAGAAATAAAATATTTTATCATTGAAAATCTAATTATGGAATATGTTTTGCAATATATTTACTTTTTAAAGCCTTCAATGCCAAGAGGAACAACTAAATGTGTTCCATCTGAGAAATGCCCTCCTTCCTCTATTTGATTGGTTTCAGAATACCTGCTTTGGTGTGGCAGGCCACAGCAATGCTCTTTCTGGTAACAGCTATTGGCTGGCAGGTGCTTACCAGGTGCAGACAGAGGAGGCATGGCTCCCAGGGCCAACATCAAAAAAGATAGTGTATTTTCTGTCTAGCCATTCTCTTTCAGGTTTTCACAAGCACCTAAGTTGCAATTCACCAGGGCATTGAAAAGTATCATGTAAATATACTAATTTAGGAGCAAATAATCATCTAACATTGTTTTATTTTAAAGAAGTTGGACTCTGATACCTACCAACTACATCGAAGCACAATTCATAAAACCTTACAAGAGATCTACCACACAGCTCAAAACCAGGTGTTCAGGCATATTCACCATCCTCTTCTCTTTGGCAGTTTGATAGATTCTTTAGGAAGAGCTCCTTTTGGAGGAGGAACCACAAGTTTTTATTCCATTACTTCTCTCAAAACCTTGACTCTTTTGAGTTCCTTGTGAGGACCTTAGGAAGTCCACTGTCGATACTCTCCTTTGAGCTCAGTCACTAAAATGTTCTCAAGGCGAAGGGATAGATATTAGCTTCACTTCCTAAGTCAGCTCACAAGAAGATTCCTGATTCAAGAAGGTTTTCAGTGCAGGCAGTTATATCTCTCATTCTTTTTAGAGATGATTCAGCTTTGCTTTTAGTGTGTAAAATTGTTAAAAGCTCTCAGAACTTTTTTAGCATCTCGTAAACTGATGCAGGAAGAACTGGCAGAGGCAGGTTAAATGCACTTGACAGCAACACCCTTGTTTCCTTCACTATTAAATACACATTTATTATACATCTACTACAGGCCTAGAACTGTCTGGGCACTAAAGAAAAAGTAATAAAACTCCATTCCTGAGGCACGGAGCTTGTCCAGACAAACAGGGAGCAAGATTTGGAACCTAGCAAATGGAGCCTCCTCAGTTTAGTCAACTCAACGTAAGTTGAAGCAATCAATGTGAAAATTCTCAATTATATTAAGAATGCCTTGGTGAACACCCAGTGTAGAAATTTCATTGATTAAAAAAAGTTTCAATATAACTTCAGTCCTTGAACCTAATCTAGTACCTATACTAGGAAACAAAACATTAATCATGCTTTTCTCTATCTTTTAAATTTTGTCACAAGAAAAATAAACTTATGTTCAAGCCTATAAACAAGGAAAATGGTTTTTTTAAACTTTATTCAGATAAAATTGACATATAGCATGGTGTACAGATGGTTGTAGAAATGGGTAAATACATTCTCTGTTTTCATAAATAAGTGCCTACACTGAGCCACTAAATATTTCTGTTATATAACGTTTTTATTACTCTCGGAATGAAGAAAAGTGATAATTTCCCTTCATTGAATGTTCTATCTACTCTCTCCTTAATTATACCTCCTTTATTCTGTGTCATGGAGTAATTTTATAATCAAAGATATTTAGGTGTTTATTTTCTACATCACCTCCACCCTTAGTGTCTTAAATACTCTGCCAAGAACTCAAATATTATGTTGGTCTGAGGGGAAGAGGAAATTCCATGGTTTGTTTAATTCATAAAGTCTTTGGCTCATCTCACATGCAGAACTGTTTAAATATATATCAAGTTTTGTAATTCCAGGAGAAGCATTCAAGGTTTGTACTGGGAGCCTTTATTTCCTCACCATCTTCTCATTCCTTAACCCTCTGCAATACAGGTTCTATCCCTACCATTGTACGGATAAGTGAGATGTTGATGTATATGTCAGGTTGTTAAACATTTTTTCTTTTTTTTCTTCTTAATATATATTTTTATTTTATTGATTATGCCATTACATTTGTTCTATTTACCCCCTCCATTCTCCTCCACCCTGCACACCCCTCCTCCACCATTCCCCTCCTTTAGTTCATGAACATGTGTCTCAAGTTCTTTTAATTCTATATTTCCCCTACTATTCTTACCCTCCCCCTATCTATTTTCTATCTACTGTGTATGCTACTTATTTTCTGTACCTTCTCCCCCCTTCTCCTTCTCCCACTCCCCTGTTGTTAACCCTCCACGTGATCTTCATTTCTATGGTTCACTCCTGATCTAGCTGTCCTCTTAATTTGCTTTTGTTTTAGGTGTGGTTGTTGATAACTGTGAGTTTTTCACTGTTCATCTGTTTTATCTTCTTTTTCTTAGGTAAGTCCCTTTAACATTTCATATAATAAGGGCTTGGTGATGATGAACTCCCTTGAATTTGATCTTATCTGTGAAGCACTTTATCTGTCCTTCCATTCTAAATGAAAACTTTGCTGGATAGAGCAATATTGGTTGTAGGTCTTTGGATTTCATGACTTGGAATACTTCTTTCTAGCCCCTTCTTGCCTGTAAGGTCTCTTTTGAGAAATCCACTGACAGTTTGATGGGGACTCCTTTGTAGGTGACTGTCCCCTTATCTCTTGCTGCTTCTAGGATTCTCTCCTTCATTTTCATCTTGGCTAATGTAATGATGATGTACCTTGGTGTGTTCCTTCTTGGGTCCAACTTCTTTGGGAATCTCTGAGCTTCCTGGATTTCCTGGAAGTCTATTTCCTTTGCCAAAATGGGGAAATTCTCTTTTATTATTTGTTCAAATAAGGTTTCCACTCGTGACTGTTCCTCTTCCCCTTCTGGTACCCCTATAATTCGGATGTTGGAGCGTTTAAAGATGTCCTGGAGGTTCCTAAGCCTCTCCTCATTTTTTTGAATTCTTGATTCTTCATATTTTTCTGTTTGGTCATTTTTTCCTTCCTTCTGGTCTACTCCCTTGATTTGCATCCCAGTTTCCTTTCCATTACTATTGGTTTCCTGTGCATTTCCCTTCATTTCAATTAGTTTAGCCTTCATATGTTTCTCTAATTTGCGACTAAAATCAACCAGTTCTGTGAGCATCCTGATCACCAGTGTTTTGAACTGTGCATCTGAAAGTTTGGCTATTTCTTCATCACTTAGATTTATGGGCTCTGGGGCTCTGAGTTGTTCTTGAGCCATGTTTTTATCTGTTTGTGCCTGTTACATAGGAGGAGAGGCATCTTAGGTGTTCACCAGGGAGGGCCACTCAGGTCGCTGGTTTGTGACGCTGTATGTGGGGGCTCAACATCACGTTTCCACTTGTTGTTCTTCCTCTTTTCCTTCTGGTACCCCTATAATTCGGATGTTGGAACATTTAAAGATGTCCTGGAAGTTCCTAAGCCTCTCCTCACTCTTTTGAATTCTTGTTTCTTTATTCTCTTTTCTGTCTGGTTGTATTTTTATTCCTTCTGGCCCACTTCATTGATTTGAGTCCCAGTTTTCTTTCCATCACTATTGATTCCCTGTGCATTTTGCTTCATTTCACTTAATGTAGCCTTCTTTCTTTCATCTAATTTGCAACCAAAATCAACCAGTTCTGTGAGCATCCTGATCACCAGTGTTTTGAACTGTGCATCTGATAGGTTGACTATCTCTTGGTTGCTTAAAAGTATTGGCTTTAGGGCTTTGATTTGTTCTTCTGATTGAGCCATTTTTGGTCAGGTCATGCCTGTTAAATATGAGAGGCTGAGCCTTAGGTGTTCACCAGGGCTGGGCAACTCAGTCTCTGGGTTGTGATACTGTATGGGGAGGGCGGGGTCAGAGAGGCAACAATGGCACTTGCTCCACTCTATCTGGGATTTTGGTCCCCTCTGATGCTTCCCACAAGCAAATTGAGCTCTTGTGGTGCTGATTCCTACATGGGTGGGCTTCTGTACATTCTAGGACCCTGTGGGTCTCTCCCACAAACTCTCCTGTGGGGCTG